TAAGGGACAGGGGATCCTGGGGGGCAGTCAGGGGACAGGGAGCAGAGGTTCTGGGGGGTGGTGGTCAGGGGACTGGGAACAGGGGGCGGTTGGATAGGGCATGGGAGTCCCAGGGGACCTGTCAGGGGGCAGGGGTGTGGATAGGGGTCGGGGCAGTCAGGGGACAGGGAGCAGAGGGGGTTGGATGGGGGTAGGGTCCCATGAGGGGGTGATCAGGGGACAAGGAGTGGGGGGGCAGTTGGATGGGTCTTAGGGGGATGGGAAGTGGGAGGGGGCAGATAGGGGGTGGGGGCCAGGCTGTTTGCAGAGGCACAGCCTTCCCTATCTGGCCCTCCATATAGTTTCGCAACCCCGATGTGGCCCTTGCATCAAAAAGTTTGCCCACCCCTGTCCTAGGGCATATGGCACTGACCTGGTAGTCAGGGTACCGGGGAAGTCTACAGCTGCTGATCTGCTGTGTGGACCTTGGGCCAAGCGTGTCCTGCCTCTCTGCAGGGACCATCTCTCACTAGGTATCCATGCCGCCCTTAGCACAATGGGAACTGGATCTTAGCCAAGGCACGGATGTAATGAAAAGTATAATGAACCTAGGCACTGCTGTAAGGAAAACAACTCCTCCAGCAAGCCTATTTCGCACAACTTCTGAATGAAGCTGGAGTCTTACAAAACTTCCAGCCCCCGGGAAGGTACTGCCGCAGCGATAACCGTGTGTGCGGGGGACCTTTTGGAAATCCATGAAAACACCAGTTCCCTCGCTGTTAGAAATACAAAACATTTCCACCTCACTGGCAGAAACAATGTATCTTCGCCTCTGTTTCGTACGGGGCTGCAGCTCTTGACGCTGTCTTACCGGGACAGAGTTTGCTTACTTCATGCAATTTGTTGGAGAACAAATTCCCTTAGCAAAGCCATAGCTGGTGTGTAAAGTGGGTTCAGCGGCAGGAGTTCACTGATTCCTCCATTTAATTTCCTGCTCTTGGTGGAAACAGACAATTTGATCTTCTCTCCATTACTACGCGCCAAGAACAACAGCCCTAAATCGGCCCCAAGTAGACGGAAAGGCAAGATAAGGAAACCAGACAACTGCTGGGTAACGGCCTGTGCTGTGAGATAGGGAAATACGGTTTGACTCGCAGAGAAAACTGTGCCCGATCCAGGATGTATTGGTTATTCCCCGTGGTAAGCTGGGCATTAAAATCTCGGCTGGAGGGATGGACAGAAGACTGCAGAAGCTGCAATGTAATGGAACTATAGTTAATAAACTGATTAATCAACTACATTTGCGTCCTGCTCAGTACTCGTGCTGCTGTTAGTCTAACATATTCTGCTCCTTCTCCCCTGACCTTGCTATCTTGAAAATTCCCTCTAGAGCGCCGTGCCCCCCCACATAGCCTGGGTTAATGGCCTTCTGAAGGCAGGATCCTGCTAGCCTCTCAACAAGCCTTTGAATCTTGCAGTGAAATGAGAAGGGGGTTTGTGCTGATGAATCTCTCAATGCGCATGAGATGCTCACACACTTCAGAGAGGGGCCATAGCAGGACCTACGCAGCTAGATAGCATAAGAGGTGAGCCAAGATGATCACTGGCCCAAACCAGAAGAAGAAGGAGGGGCTAAAGCATTGCCTAGCAACACTGAGCTGCCAGAGAAATAGTCCGATTGAGGGGTTAGTGGCTTGCTGACATGTGGGGAGAGCGGGGGGGGGGCGGGGTTGGTGGTTGGCCTGCTTTGTGTATTCCCAGCCAGGGGTGCTGCACTGAGCCACGGCTTGCTGGGATCGGGGAGAGGCAAGGGAATGTGTTTGGAGCTATAAAGCAATGTCCAGAACTGGCTGGGCCAGCAGTAGACCTGTCCAGTGCCCTAGCCCCTAGCTCTGGGTGTCTCAAATGTCTCCTCTTGGTGACCCCATATTCGAAGCCCTGACCCCTTTATACCTACTGTACAGTAAGAATAAGGAAAGCAGCTGTGACTGGGTGTTAATAGTCAAACTCCCAGTCTCCTTGTGCAATCAGTCCCAGTCTCACCAGACTTCTTGTCCCAAGCTACTCTTCTCCCTGCCCCTGATCTGGCTTTTGTCCTTTCTGCATTCGAATCAGATGGCTTCCTCCACATTGCCTGGGGGGCGGGGGGTTCACTGAGAGGCTCCCTGCCCTCAGTTCCTAAGCCTGGCCCCATCCTGCCGCAGCTGGAAGCAGCAATTACAGGAAAAGGCCTATCGGCCCTGTAGCTGTGGGCTGAAGCATGCTCAGTCACTCTGTGAGGCTGGTGCACACAGTGTGTGGTCAGCACTTGGAAATGCTCTAGCAGTTCCAAGAAAAGATCACCTGATTGCTTTTAATATGGGCAAAACAACACATTTTTTCCCCAAAGCTCCTTCTTGGGAATGGCTGAAATTTTCCAAATTTCCTTGGCAAGGAAGATTTCAGGCCTCACAGCTGAAGTTTGGAAAAGTTATTGTAACCCTTCTGCCCGTCAGAGTTGGCAGCAACAAGGGCCGGGTTCAGTATCTAGGGGTTCCATTCCAATAACACAATGCAAAACCGGCTCGAGCCTCCACCCAGTGACCTGGGACAAATATATACCACCCACGCTGGGCGCCTCCAAGAGGCAATACTTCCCCTCTCGCAAGCACAGAGTCTGAGTGTAGCAAAAATCCTTTCAATAACAGAGAAAAACAATGTGGCATTATGTTGGGGAAACACCACCAACAGGATTCATAACACAACCCATGAGCAAAAAACCCACCCCAAGCAAATTGGGGTGTGTCCTTTCCCTTTGGTTCTTGAGTCCAGCAACCCCAAATCACCCAAAGTCCCAAAAGTCCCACGACCCAAAAGTCTCCATCCCTGGTCAGGGCAGCCCCAGAGTTTGAAAGTTTATCTGCAGAGTTTTACCTCCCAACCTGGGTGGAGGTGTGTGTGTGTGTGGGGGGGGAGGTTAAGGGGCACCTTACCTGGTCCAAAGCTGATTGCCCCACCTCTCCATGGGGCTGCGCTCTGCCAGCAGCCCCCATGAGCTGCTCCAGACGTCTGACAAACTGCTCTGCTCCACCAGCCGCTCTGCTCACCATCCTGCAAACTGCTCTGCCATATATCTTCAGGCTCCCCCACTACTTAACACAACACTCAGTGATTTCACTTAGAAAGTTTAGCTCTTTTGTGATTTCAGCTTGTAGTAGGGGAGCCTCAGCACTGATGCACCATTAGCCCAAAGTGAATTCAGCTCAGCAGCCTATAACTAGACTCCTAATAGAATCAAAATTAGTTTTGATATTCTACAGTGATGAGATGAGATGAGATGAGAAAATGCAATTAGCATGTAAGACCCTCACCAGGGGGCCCATATTACCAAGTATTAATGCCTGCCCCCAGCCTGTCTCCCTTCACTGGGTTTTGGAACCCATGACCCTTGCCTAGCGAGTGCTGCTTAGTTGATGGTGAGTCCCTCCATCATAACAAAAGGTTGAGTACAGTTCCACTGTCCTTGATTCACATAATCAGGATAATAACAGTTTATTCCTGCCCCAATTACAGTGAAACTGGGGCTCCTACAGCAGCCAAAGTGACCATTCTAGGCGGGGTGGGTGTGCCTATGCAAATGAGATCAGCCCCTGAAGTTCTTTTCCACAACTCACCATGACTCGCCACCAGATGTCAGGGTAGAGCTCATCCTGACTCTGCTTACATCATAAAGAAGTGAAAACAGGGTCTTGTAATGGGAAGTATCAGGCAACCTTAAAAATTGGCAGTGCTGCTTCCACTTCCACAGACCCTTCTTTTTTCATGCTTCAGTACTGGCCTGTCCCATAATCAGTATCCAGCCAGCTGCTCAGCACAAAGCATTTAATAGCCGTCTGATTTTTAGCTCCAGATCCAAAGCCCACTGAGGTGAATGGAAAGACGCCAATGAGTTTTGGATCAGCCCCATAAGGAGATCTGAGATTACAAAGTCTTAATCACAGTAGCAAAATAAAGTCTGAACAACATGCTGCTCTGCTCAGCTGCTGATGATTTGGTGCTAGTTTTTTCTGGTAGTGCTATTCACACACAATGGAGGCACGGAAGTGCTCTCAGTGCAACTAAACGCCAGCTGGGGAATGAATGAAGCCTAGGGCGCGAGGCAGCAGTCATTAGCTATGTGTGTTTCTTTACTCATTTAGACAGTAAGCTCACTGAAGCTGGGAGTGTCTCTTCTATGTGTTTGTACAGTGCCTGGCACGATGGGGTCTTGACCCAGGCTGGGGCCACTAGGGTCTCCTACAGTAATAATATTTACAAATAAGTAAGGGGGTCTTAGGTGTGCATACAAACTAGTGAAGTTCTAATGCTTTGCGTGGCTAATCCCCATTATTAAAGGACTTTATTTTACCTTCCATTTTTCTTTGCATTCTTTTCTTTCTAACTTTTTTCTTATTCTCGCTTCCTCTTGCTTTTATTCCTTTCTCTTGCATCACCAGCTCTTCTTTCCTCTCTCTCAACCGGGCGTGTTGGCTGGCAAGGCCCGCTCTATCTTTACGCGCCTTTCCGGGTCACCCTTGTTGAAACAAGAGACTCTCTCACCGCGTGGCTTCATAAAATTTAACAAACACCATCGTCATTTATATTTGAAACTACGGCACCCGAACGCCAGCTGCCTGACGCTGAAAGCTCTCTGTGCATGCTAACCTGGTGCTAAATATTGCTACAAGCAGCCGTTGCCTAGATTACAAATGCACACCATTCTACAGAAAAACTCCTTCATGAGCACTTCATGGTTCCCTTTCCCAGGGATCATTTCCAGGACGAGCATGTGTCTTAGACTGAAGAAATTGCACTCTTTTGCCTCTGCTACATTGAGCCAACTACAGCCCAGTGTCTGGCACACTTTAAAAGACACTGCACAGCAAACTTCAGGCTTTTTTGCTTTTACTCTGCTCTTGGCCACTGTGCCCCTGTCCCTTCCAGGTCCCACATGGCCCATCCTCATTCCTACACAGGACGTAACACGACAAGACCCGAGCAGCTTGGCAATTCTGTGTGACTTTATTGAGAAAGGGAAGGTTAGAAAAGCAGCAGCATTTTGGTGCCAACCTGAGGTGCCGTATGCAGAGCAGAGGAGGCACTTGGGTGGGAAAGTGGGAGAACAGCCCCTTTTCCGCCTGGTCCGCTCGCTAACCAAAGCCATCCGCCGCTGTAGTGGAGCATGAACACCGTCAGAACAGCCACCTTTCCCTCAGCAAAGGCAATGGAAGAGGATCAGGGTCACGCCCTATTTCTGCAGCACGCACGCCCATTGTTAGTTCCTTCCATCATTACTTCACTGGGGACATAACTGAGAAGCTAGTAAAGCTGTAGGCAGGCGTGAGGGCCGGCTACTCCCTTTGTAGCCCAACCATCTCTCATTATCCACAGTGCCCATGGGGAGAGTCCTTCTCTCAGACCTCTTCAGGGACAGTGTCCATGGGAGGGTATGAGCCGGCCTCCTGCACTGGCTCCCCACACACAGCACTGCTGGGGACAGAAGAAAACTGCACGTGTGGAAACAGGAACATGCACACCCAGAGTGAAACCAAACAACAACGATACAGGTCCCCTATGGTACTTTACATCCAGAAAGCCTGTACAGACAGTAACTAGCTAACCCCCCACCCCAAGACAGACAGTAACTAGCTAACCCCCTAGACAGATGGACAGAAACTAGCTAACACGCCCAGAAAGACATTAACTAGCTAACCACCACCCCCAGACAGACAGACAGACAGACAGACAGTAACTAGCTAACACTCCCAGACAGACAGAAACTAGCTAACCCACCCAGAGAGACAGAAACTAGCTAACACTCCCAGAAAGACATTAACTAGCTAACCACCACCCCCAGACAGACAGACAGACAGTAACTAGCTAACACTCCCAGACAGACAGACAGAAACTAGCTAACCCACCCAGACAGACAGAAACTAGCTTACACTCCCAGACAGACAGAAACTAGCTAACCCCCATCCCCCAGACAGACAGACAGTAACTAGCTAACACTCCCAGATAGACATTAACTAGCTAACTGCCCCCCCCAACAGACAGACAGACAGAAACTAGCTAACCCACCCAGACAGAAACTAGCTAACACTCCCAGACAGACAGAAATTAGCCAACCCCCCACCCCCAGACAGACAGACAGTAACTAGCTAACCCACCCCGACAGACAGACAGTAACTAGCTACCCTCCCCCCAAGACAGGCAGGCAGTAACTAGCTAAACTGCCCAGACAGAGAGCTGGTCAGTAACTTGCTATCCCCGCAGACAGACAGTCAGTAACTAGCTAACCCGCCCAGCCAGTACCTAGCTAATCGCCCAGCAGTGCTGGCTCATCCCCTCCCATGACCAGTGCCCCAAGAGGGGGCTCTAGGAGAAGGACTCTCACAAGGCTCCTGTCATGGAGCTCCTCCCATTGCCCGTTGGGGCGGGGCTTTCTCCTTTACAGGCCCCGCCCTCAGACTCAGCAGATTCCCAGGGCCTGCCGGTGTTGCTGTGCCGCTGCATGGAGTCTGGCCCCATTCCTGGTAGCATCCCCTGGCTGCAGCAGCCCCGGGGCAGGAGGTGGGGCGCAGTGCTGAGAGCTGCTGCAGGAGGCAGGCAGGGCTCTGCCCCCATCCCCTTAGGAGCCGGAGGAGTCTTGTGGTAGGGAAGGGGCTGCCTCTCCCTGCACACACACACACACACACACACCCTGCAGGAGGAGCAGATGCAGGGCTGGGGAAAGGGCCAATGGGGGATCAGCACTGATGCGGGGGCTGAGGTCGTATAATTAATTATTGCCTGGGGGCAGGGGGGGTGCAGATGTGGGCGGGGGGGGGGCAGGACTCAGAATTAATGAGTTAGAATGTTGGGGTTTGGGGAGAAACTGGAAGTGCTGCCCCACGGAGCAGCAGTGAGAGCCTCTGCAGGGGGCAGAGTCCCCGACTCTGTCTGCTGGGGAGAGCTGGCAGCATGGCAACTATCACACACACACGGGGAAGAGCTGGCAGCACTGACTGTCACAATTTTTTTTTTCAAAAATCCAAAACTAGCCCAAACCCAACCTTGCACTCTTTAAACCAAAACCCTCCTGATTTGGGGGCCGATCTCATGATTGGTGGGGTCTGACACATGACTGGAGTGGGCGGTACTGGGGAGGGCCTGGGCAAACAGCTCATTTTTCTCCTCTCATCAGGGAACGTTGCCCAGGACCCAGAAGGGGGCAGGAGAGGGTGAGTCGACCCCATTGAACGGTGACCCAGGTAGGAGGCCCCAGGGCTGAGCGTGAGTCTCTCTGGCATGACAGAAGCTGACGGTGACCCACTAATCTCCCACTTCTGGGGCGTTCTCCCCGGCTGAAGGTACCAACACGCGCTGGTTTGGCTTGTGTGCCCATCTAGCTACCTGGCTGTGGATGCTCCCCGCGCAGGGACCCAGAGCAGGGCCTTCCACACAGAGCTGCCAGCATGCTCGTGTGCAGAGCCCAACCAGTACATAGCATGAGCAGGCAGATCCCTGGCCTGCCCCCAAAGCTGTTCTCGCCCATGTGGGGCGAGGAGGGGCCGGTGCTGTAATGGTGGCTGACCCCTCTATCAGTGCGGAGGGCTCCCTCTAGCAGGGAACTTGGGGTGGGGCCGGGGAAATGCAGCTTGGGGCAGTTATTGGTTTCTTAGGCTCCAGGGTCACACGGCTGTGTCAGTTGCAGGCACAGGCCCTGTGTGTTGGTCTCATGCTGATGGTGCTGAGCAGATCCTGACTGCTTAGCGGTACAACTTAGGATCCCCGCACTCCCTCCAGATGCTGGAGACCGTTGATATCTGGCTGCACATTCTGCTGTCCGGAACACCACGCTCTGGAGTGACAGAGGCAGGCAGGACTATGGGGTTCTGCTCTCTAACCTTCTGTAGAGGCCAGGACGTATCCTGTGGTGTCTTAGTTAGTAATGAGTAACCCGCCATGGCAAGGGATGTGACGTAAACAGGGGCACTGCTGTTCCCTTACAAGCTTGTGGCCACAGTTCGGTTAATAACAAAATACATTTTCATGTTTCTATCAAGTGTCACATAAAACCCTCCTAGAAAACCTTGTGCAAGCAGGTCAGAAGCAGATTGCTTCCCCCGAGGCATTTCTTGACACAGTGCTCTGTGCTTGGCATTACAGGACCGTGCTGATGGTCTCTTTAGGGACCTGGGTGCTAGGCAGTGATTTAAGGTACTCCAGGTGCTTCCTAGCATCTTCCTGGTTGTGTCGAACATAATACACCACGTAGGTGATGACCATGGTGAACCAGCCGAACATGGTGATGAACATAGCAACATCCGTGGTCTTTTGATGGATGTTACAGAAATTGACGCCAGAGTCCAGGACCTGGATCAAAGGCTTCCCGACATATTCTTCCCGCACAGAGGTTTGGCAGGTGATCTCGTTCACCGACTCGGGATCTAGCTTCACTTCCCAGAGCACCTCCTGCAAAGCGCACTCGCAGTGCCACGGGTTATTGGACAAGCGGATCTTAGCATTCAATTTGACCAAGGCTTCCTTGGGAATACTCTGAATAAGGTTATTGGAAAGATCCAGCGTCCGCAGCCCATCTGCCACCCCTCTGAAAGCTGCCATGTCTATCTTCTCAATGGCATTTCTGGAGAGGTCCAGCTCTTCCAAGTGGTTCAGGTGTTTGAACGCGTTGTTGGGGATCTGGGTGATTTTATTTGCATCGAGCTTCACAAACACAGCATCTTGGGGAATGTCCTTTGGGATTGCGTCCAAATGCTTTGAGCTGCACAGCACAGCCATGGCTCCCGAGTGATCTGTGCACTGGCAGGGCTGGGGGCAGGAGGTCCACACAGGAGGGATGCACAGGAGGAGGCAGAAGAAGACGCGTGCAGAGGACAGCTGTGCCAGTGAGGATGCCGGGTGTGCCAGGAACATTCTGATCATCGTCTCAACGGGGCACACTTCTGCATGGCTGCTTGGGAAATGTTAGTCTTTGCCAGCTAACCTCTCCAGGTGTGCAAAGGGACTAGCTGGAGGCATTCACATACTCTCTTTTCTTGTCTTTCAAAGTGCGCTCTTTTGTTTCTGACAGCAAAAAGAGGGAGGGGAAATTGACATTATTTTTCTTGACACTATGAAACACTTAGATCTCTCGGTGTCTGATCTACATTAGCAAAGCAAGCGCTGGGTTAATCTGCTAAACCTGTGCCCCATCCCTAACAAGGTCATCTACCATCATCTCAGATAGGCTCCATTCAGATGAAAGTTATTTCTCTGCATTTTTCAGATTTTTAAATGAAAGGGTCAGTTATTGAGGGCCGTGGTGTGACACGGATACACCCTGGCACAGGGAAGTAATTCCCCACTCCATGCACAGCTGTGGAGACTTCCCAGCCCTGGGGACCAGGGGCACAGGTGCAAGGGTGTTGCCGTTGAGTAGTGAATGGGATGGGCAGAGCCCCAACACAGAGTTGATATTGCACAAGGTTCTTATAATCTGTTGCTGGGACAGTCTTGCCAACCTCAAGTGTTAAAAAAACACCTGAACCAGACCATCCAAATTTGTAAGATTGGCTTACAAATTATGAGATTGTAACAAATAAAGCAGGGTTGTTTTATTTGTCCTCTAGTGTGTAAACCTTTAGAGGTCACTATTTCAAGCTTTTCTTTGCAACCAAGACAATTAGGAAGTTATTTTAAAACAAAAGAACACCGAGATTATGATGGGATAACATGACTCCAGGAGCTGGAGCTTTAAGAAAAAACACTAAATATCACATAGAATGGAGAGAGATGGCAACACTGAAATTAACACACACACACACATGCACATTTACATGCCTGTTCTCCAAACAAATGGTGATTTCATCAGTATGGGAGCTTGGGAGTGGGAGGTACACTAATTTGAAAACAAAATAAAGCCTAATATTAGGAAAGATGAGGACAAACTGGAGAGAGTCCTGAGGAGAGCAACAAAAATGATAAATGGTTTAGAAAACCTGCCCTGTGTGGAAAGACAAAAAAACAGGGCAGGGTTAGTCTTGAGAAAAGGAGACTGGTGGGGGGACCTGAGAACCATCTTCAAATCTGTGAAGGGCTGTTACAGAGAGGACGGTGATCATGGGTGTCAGGTATAAGAGGCCAGGGGAGGCTGAGCCTCCCCCAAAAAGGCCAGTGATGCAGGGGGGAGAAATGTGGCAGACGTGGCACGGGTCATCCCTCCAGCGGCGCACCGGCCCGCTGCCGCCTTTGGGCACCAGAAGCAAAGCCCCATAGAATTGGGGAGCACCGCCCACGCTCTGCTCCATCTCTTCCCCCGATTCCCGGCTCTCACTCTGCCTCTTACCAACTCCGCTTGGCCTTTTCCCCTGAGGCCCCGCCCCCTTCCTGTCCCTGCTCCTCCTCCTTCCCTGAGGACCCCCCACCCTCTGCTCACCTAAGGCAGAAAAAAGTGATGGGGGCATGGCCCCATAGCCCCCTTGGTGGCCCGCCCTTCTGTGAAAGGGGTGGAGAGGAGCAAGCAGCTGGTGAGGGGAGTCTCGGGGGAAGAATCAGAGAGGAGCAAGGGGCCGGAGGGGGGTCTCGGGGGAAGAGGCAGAGAGGAGTGAGCAGCGGGCGGGCAGAGCCTCGCAGTAGGGGGCGGTAAGAGCCAGTGCGAGGGCAGGGCCTCGGGGGAGAGAATGACTGGGCACGGGGCCTCGGTGGCAGGGCCACGGTCCAGGTGCAGGTGGCCCCCCCCCCAACTTCTAGGGAGCTTCTGGCACATGTGTGTGAGCCGCCCGAAAGAGAAGACTCATGTGCCACCTATGACTGTGATCAATGGTTCTCCGTGTTCATTGAGGGTCGAACAGGAAGTACTGGGTTTAACTGCAGCAAGGGAGGTTTCGGTTAGAGATTAGGAAATGTTGTCTAACTCTCAGGGGAGTTAACTCCGGAACAGGCTTCCAAACAAAGGCTGTGGAATCCCCATCACTGGAGGTTGCTAAGAACAGGTTGGACAAACACCCGCCAGGGCTGGTCTAAGTTTACGTGGTCCTGCCTCAGCGCAGGGGCTTTAAGTGAGTTGGATTAATACAGTAATTAGAAGGGTTACCTGCCCCAGGCTATGGGCACCCCTGCCACAAATGACAAGAACAAACAACAGCTTCCCCCCAGATCTAGCAGAGCTCAACCCCAGCCACTCTCCAGCCTGCCCTGGCCAGCCAGATCTAACCCCACACTTTCTGCAGCAGCCCCCACACATAATGCAGCGTGTGCAGACCTGCGGAGGAGCTTGTTCCAGCACTGTAAGACCCTCATGGAATTCCTCTGTTGAACCCAGATCTGGCCATCCCGGCATGGCAAGAGAGGCAGGGTCTCCACTCAGAAGGTCCCAAAGCATTTAGGCCCCAGTTCAGCCAAGTACTTAAGCATGTGCTTAAATACTCTCCTAATAGGGATGGATTAAGCACATGCTTGAAGTTAAAGCATTATGCTGAATCAAGGTCTTTTCCAGCTTTATAGGTCAAAGCCAACTCCTTCAATTCAATCCAGAAGCCATATCTATGAATGGGGTTGCACAGGTGTAAGATCGGTGCAGAATTTAGCCTGATAAATCCATATTAAACTGGCTTTCAAAAGCTGAAGCTAGGCACTGAGCTGAAAGTTTGATTATCCAGAGGGGTCGTGTCCATGCCAGGCGACAGAGAACAATGAGTACGCCCAGCTTCATTTCACTGGGAAGCACAATTTTACTACCAGCCTGTCTGCATCTTCCTCGGCTGCCTGGCAAGGTTTGGCAAGAGGGTTCTTTCGTTACAGCGAATGCCAGTGTGGTACAGCTTCCAATCGGACCCATCTACAATATGCTCAGTCACCTAGGCTGGGCAGGGGTACTTTGTAGCTAATAACTAGCGAAAGGACATATTTCCTAAGAGCCCGCTCTCCTCTCCCTGAATACAATCCTGCTGCTTCCTGCTGTAGGGTGGGAGATCACTAGGAACCTGACCTGCTAATGGCACTTCTCGTTTGCTAAATCCGCAATGAAAAGGCACCTTACCTGAGTTGAGGTAAAACCATTTGGCTGCCGTTCAGGTTTTGTCATTCTCCTCCTTCAGCTGCCAAGCATGTAGCCAGTGCTGTCCCTCCAGCCCGGTATGCCTGAGTCTGGGTGAGATCCAGCAGGGCTAGCAGAGTTTAAACCCCGTCCACCACTTGTTGCTGTCTGTTCAGTCCTCATGTCTCCATCTCTGTGGTGCTTTCCTTTGCCTCGGCATACACACAAGCCACACACCATGCAGATGGGCTGTAATTGGACAGCATCTGCCTGTCACTGACATCCTCGCTGCGCATCCTTGGATTTTTTAAAGGGACAGCCTAGTAATAACTCAACCACATAAACAACCTCAATCTCTTCCCCACACGTCCCTGTGTCATGCTGGCAGGTGTGTACATCGCAGTAGGTTCTGGGCATGATTACCAGGCAATAGATGAGAAGAGGTAGAGTAGTAGCTCTCTCACGAGTGCTTTCAAATTCCCTCCAAATTTCTGTCTTCAGTGCAGTGTCTTCTCTTATTGACAGGAGGGTTTTAAACTGCTCCCAAGAGACTGGATCTTACCTGCCACTGGCATTGGCTGTGGCTCCCCTTGTCCCAGGGATGGGCCAGCCCTTCCTGCTGGAGTCTCAGTGGCTGGTTGCTTTGGGTTCTGTCCCTGAGGGGTGAGAGGGCGAGTCTGGCACTGAAATGAATCCAGCAGCCTCACAGAAGGGTGTACGGTGAGAGTTGGGGCAGGGTTGGGGCGGGCTGGCCCTGGCTGGCACTCAGGAGATCTGGGGTCTAGTCTCAGCTCCACCGTCACCTGCGGGGGTGAGTCATGGACTCTCTTTGGGTGGAACACCCTTCCCTACCTCTCCTTGTCCCCCACAAAGGGAGAGCTCCCCAAGTGCCATGCTGGCTGAGCGAGGTTAGCTCTCTCCTCCACAGGACATTGGCACTGCTTGCATCTGACCCTGGGCGCCCCCTCTAATGTGCCCTGCAGATTGAGCCCTCAGCTTGCCTAGAGTGCTTCCCTGGGGAAACCTATGCTGTGACTGCTCCTGTCCTGTGGCTGCATACAGGGTGTCTCCCCATTCCCCTGCTCCTGAGCGACCAGTTCCAGGCTCTGTGGGGCAGGGGCTGTCTCTCAGGGGCTCTGATCTTGGGTGGAGCCTCAAGGTGCTTCCCTACTGGATAATCACATTGTTTTCTGGGCCTCCTATCAGCCCTGACCCACTAGCAGCCACTCAGGGAGCAGGGGCCAGGGTGACATCTTTGCCCCAAATAGTCCAGCAGATTGCACGAGGGAAACCATTCTGTCGACAGCAGGGTGATCCACGCTGCCTCTGCCCTGCCTCTTCCTGCCCAGGCTGGCCACGTTGCACCTGTGCCAGCGGAGCAGCCTTCGCCAAGGGAAGCATGGCCCAGGAAGGGTTGTGGTCACACTGGGGCCGGCCCTGGAGCTGTCACCCAGCTACTCAGGAGCCATGGCGAAGCGGATGGGCTCTGCCCTGGTACTGACAGGCTCCCAGCTGGCCATTGCACGGCACTGCCTCATTAACCCAGCACATGCCAAAGCCCTTGCGCTCTCCCTGCTGAGGCCACGCTCACTTGGGGCAAACTCAGCCCCCCCAGCACGAGCCCTGCCAGAAGAGCATGCAGTGGAGGAGGCCAGGTCTCAGGGATGCACAGCCAAATTGTCCCCTGCAAGCAGGGGCCCCGTCCTGCCAGCAGCTCCATGGCTTTCGCATAGGACCCGTCATGCTCATCAGTTTAAAGCTGCACCATCGACTCCCTCTGAGGGGATGTGGAGAGTCAAACCCATCGGGGCTGCGCTGGTCCCCGTCACAACTGCTCGGAGGCTCCTGGCACTGAAATCTTGGCAAGTGTTTGGGACCAGCGCAGGGACTGGCCAACTGCTGTCCCCATGGCATTGTACGATCTCTGCAGGGCACGTTCGGGGGATTAATAACTGCATTGCTGATGTGCCCAGCGAGCCGTGTGACTGCACCCACCCCCCACAAACCCATGTGCCTTCAAGGACACCCCCAGCCATTCAGCTTCCCTGTGGGGACAGTACAGGCTTAGCATCTGTGATCCTACCTGCCCCAGTCCCAATGCCATGGCCCTGTCTCAGGAGCTTCAGGCTGGCAGGGTGGCTGGGTTATGGGCAGATACAGAGAATACAGTTACTTCACTGGGAGCTGTTGACACTCTTGGGAACGTTAACAGCTTCGACATAGGAATGCGCTAGCCCTGGGATGGCCAGAGGGCTAATTCCAGTTATTAATTTAGGACTAAACACTCCCCTCAACCTGCAGAACCCCCAAAGATCAAGGGTGGAATGTGGCAGTTACGTAGCAACTAAACATCTAGTTATTATCCCTTAGTTGTTCAGTACCTTCACATCACATTCAGGGGGAGATATGCTCGTAAGGTTTACAGCACTATTTCTGCCTCTGTTCTCTCTCCCTTCCCTGTCTGTTCCTCTCTCTTCCTCCATCTGCTGTTCCTCCCCTCCAGCAACACCCCCTCAGATACAGTGATGAAGTAGTTAATGACAGGGGAAATGTCATCACTGGGCTGTAGGGATCTCACTCCAATTAGATGACTAGCAGGTTGGACAGTTCACAGCTCAGAGCTGTTGTTTTAGGCTCTCTGCAGACTCAGGCAGACAGCACTGCAGTGGTTTATACTCAATCCATATTCAGATGTTTTTCTTTACAAGTGCCAGGGCTAGAAACGGACTTGTTTGTTTCACACAAAAGCTGAGATTCTTGGGATCCATTCAAATGCCTCAGCTGGGCTGGCTCTGGGACACCTCTGCTATAGGCTCAGACCCACATTTCTGTCTTTTTAGCCTAAGCTGGACATTATTTCCCAGTCAACACCCCACATGCAGGCAGAGGAGTCCAAAGGTCAAGCAGAGGATGGTGGCACCACTTCTAGGGGGAATGCTGTACAGACAGTGTACCTCCCCACATGGCCTGCAGGCCGTCAGCCCAGACACAGAGAAGGAGACGGGACAGCAGAGGAGCAAGGCCTATGTTTCAAAGCATGAATTCATGCCAGGGAGGCTGGGGGTGAGTTCCCTCTCATTTATAATGATGTAAATCAGGAGTAGCTCCATGGAGAGCCATGGAATTACACCTGTGCAAAACCTGTGTATGTGCAAGCAGAATCAGTCCCCTCTGTACACATGGCAGATAACGGGCCAGATCCTGAACTGGCAGAAATGACCACTGGCTATGCCAATTTCTACCAGCTGAGGATCTGGCCTAAAGCATATTGCATGGGTAAAGCCATCCCTTGAGCTCTCAGTGGCCTGGTGGCTACTAAGGACTAATTTCCCCCCCGGACACAGGTATTTATCACAAATGTATCAATGGCATGAGAGGACACTTACTGAATTAATTCTCTATGTCCTTGTTAAGTGTGCTGGTATCTCCTCAAATGCCATGAAATCCCAGCCCGATGTGGAAAGGCCCCGCTCCAGGCAGAAGGGAAGAAATAAGATCAAATGGCATTTGTAGGGAAAGCCATTCCAGAAAGGTAGCAAGCTAAATACTAAAAATGGGAAATGCAGCAGTCTGGCAACGCTAATCTTGTCTAAATAAGGACTCAGATCTGCTGCAAACTTGCCCAACCATCTCTGTACTGGAGTAAGCTATGGCCTAGGAATTTGTACACAAATTGTTTGGGTATTGGGGAACTTCTGTTTATGACTAAATTAGGCTTATAGTGGAAAATCAGCTCCTAGCATAACAACTATACAGAGACAATGTGACTGGCCCTAATGCAAGTAATGCCATTAATGCTAGCCTAGTCACTGCCATGCAGACGCGGAAGCGAAGCAAAGCTGTTTATTTTGGAAGCTGCAGCCCTTCATCTCCAATCCCATTAGAATCCAGCACTCTCACGTTGTATTTTTATTCGGTGTGGCTGTCTAAATCAATGAATTCCAACATTTTGAGTGGCGAATTACACACAGTAGCTCCATGCAGAGAGGGAGTTAAGTTCAGTAGTGCCCATTTACTAAAAGGACATCATATGCAATTGATCTTAATTGTTAGATTTATTGAGTTAAGAGAAGCATTAAATAAAACATCATTCTGTCCCCTTATGCAAACGCTGAAGCCTACTTTGGTGCATCATTGCAGGCGAGATGCTGTTGTTCTGCATACACTGCTCCGTATATCGTTGTGGAAGGAATAGTTTGATTGAGCAAAGACTGACTAAATGACAGCAAAAAATCCCATCAAGACCAGCTACGGTCATCAAGGTCTAGCTGCACAAAGGGCCTTAGGCGCTGGGCCACTGATTGTTACAGCACTCATCGGGGATGGGGAGGGCCCTTGTGTCATGTTTCCCCTATGCCAGAGGAGGAGGAGGGTTCTGAACAGCGATCTGTCACCTCACAGGTGCTGGGCTGTGGGGTTCCCTCAGCCTCTCTGGTTAAAGCTGTCCTACGGCGGAGATGTAAGGAAAGAGAGCATGAGAATGACTGTACAGCCTGCTGGTTAGAGCACTTATCCAGGAGCTGGGACTCCCAGGTGCCAGTCCTCCTGCTCCAGTGACACTAATTATTTATCCACAATTCAACAGCTTCAACTGGAGAGACTGAGGGAAGAAGGCCACTGCAGAATAGTCCAGTGGTTAGAGCACTCCACTAGATCCCTGTTCACATCCCTTTTTTTCATTGGGTGGAGGGTGGACACGTATGGCGGTCTCCCAGATGAGTCCCCAAATCACTGGACTAAAACATAGGAGGGAGCTCCTCCTCCCCGTCCTCCTCCCTCAGCTGTTTTGTGTGAGCTCACATATGGAGCCCGATCCAGTAAGCATGCTCAGGGCGCACCTAACGGATTCAGCCCCACATGCAACTTAGATGCCTAAATCCCTTTGTGAACCGAGGCCAAAGTGCTACACTCCGGACCTCTTCCTGATCCACTGCTAGCTAATGGGCTGAGAGGGCTTGACAGATGTTCTTGCTAAGCAGGTTTATATGCAAACGCTTTCTCAGCCTGTTTTGAACTAGTTTTGATCTGGAGATCCTGGTCGGCTAGCCTGGGAGTTACATGTGACTGGCTGGCGAAAGGATGTGACCCCATCATTCATTTCTAGCGATGAATTGTGGCAGGGTGGGAAATCAAAGATCAGTGTCCAGCGACTTCATAAGGAATGGAAATCTCGAAGTGGATGTTTGGGGGCTGCACAGGAATCCAAAGGAAGAATAATGGGACTGCAGGCTATCTCCCATGGTGCTACTGCCCTCAAAATGCCTGGTCCATACGTGTGCCTATTTACGACGCAGACACTTTAATGGCAGCTATTTCAAATTCAAACCCAAATATGCACCCTCACCCACCTTGTCTCCATACCCTGGCTTTCCCGAGTCAACCCCCCCCTGTCCTCTAGAACCACTCGCCAGCCACGTTTGACTGCTCCGGCCCTGCGGGGGGATGTCAACGGCTGGGGGCACAATTTAGGCCCTGACTGATGGATGCTTTCTGCCCTGGCTGCTGGCATGCTAGCATCTAAGGAAGGCGACTAGAGCTGGTTCAAGGAATAAGCTCAGATACAATGCAGTTCCCAGCATGTTCAGGGCCAAATATGAGGATGCTGGGCTTTAACAGGGGTGCCAGGGACCCCAACCTAAGGAACAGAGCAAGAAATAAATAATAGCAGTAGATGCTCAACCTAGATTGGGGTTAATTCCTTTATAACGTGCTGCCCCATAACCCCACTTGGGAGTCAACATTTTGTGTCAAAACCAGTGAGATGACAACAAGACCGAGTAGCTCGCACAGACAATAGACAGGTTTCAGAGTAGCAGCCGTGTTAGTCTGTATTCGCAAAAAGAAAAGGAGTACTTGTGGCACCTTAGAGACTAACCAATTTATTTGAGCATAAGCTTTCGTGAGCTACAGCTCACTTCATTGGATGCATTCAGTGGAAAATACAGTGAGGAGATTTATAGACACACAGAACATGAAAAAATGGGTGTTTATCATGCACACTGTAAGGAGAGTGATCACTTAAGTTGAGCTATTACCAGCAGAGGGGGGAGGGAGAAAACCTTTTGTAGTGATAATCAAGGTGAGCCATTTCCAGCAGTTAACAAGAACCTCTGAGGAACAGTGCGGGGGGGCGGTGGAAATAAACAAGGGGAAATAGTTTTACTTTGTGTAATGACTCAACCACTCCCAGTCTCTATTCAAGCCTAAGTTAACTGTATCCAATTTGCAAATTAATTCCAATTCAGCAGTCTCTCGTTGGAGTCTGTTTTTGAAGTCTTTTTGTTGAAGAATTGCCACTTTTAGGTCAGAAATCGAGTGACCAGAGAGATTGAAGTGTTCTCCGACTGGTTTATGAATGTTATAAATCTTGACATCTGATTTGTAGGCGTTTGTCTCTGTCTGAGGGGCTGGAGCAAATGCGGTTGTATTGTAGAGCTTGGCTGTAGACAATGGATCGTGTGGTGTGGTCTGGGTGAAAGCTGGAGGCATGTAGGTAGGAATAGCGGTCAGTAGGTTTCCGGTATAGGGTGGTGTTTATGTGACCATCACTTATTAGCACCGTAGTGTCCAGGAAGTGGATCTCTTATGTGAACTGGCCCAGGCTGAGGTTGATGGTGGGATGGAAATTGTTGAAATCATGGTGGAATTCCTCAAGGGCTTCTTTTCCATGGGTCCAGATGATGAAGATGTCTATATGCGCTATATTTATGACATCTTCATCATCTAGACCCATGGAAAAGAAGCCCTTGAGGAATTCCACAATGATCTACAAGATCTCTATCAAGCATTCTTACAACTACAATACCCACCTGCTGAAGTGAAGAAACAGATTGACAGAGCCAGAAGAGTTCCCAGAAGTCACCTACTACAGGACAGGCCCAACAAAGAAAATAACAGAACGCCACTAGCCGTCACCTTCAGCCCCCAACTAAAACCTCTCCAACGCATCATCAAGGATCTACAACCTATCCTGAAGGACGACCCATCGCTCTCTCAAATCTTGGGAGACATGGCCAGTCCTTGCCTACAGACAGCCCCCCAACCTGAAGCGAATACTCACCAGCAACCACACACCACACAACAGAACCACTGTGTGTCTATAAATCTCCTCACTGTATTTTCCACTGAATACATCCGATGAAGTGAGCTGTAGCTCACGAAAGCTTATGCTCAAATAAATTGGTTAGTCTCTAAGGTGCCACAAGTCCTCCTTTTCTTTTTACACACAATAGAGACACTTCCAGGCCAAGAGATCCCAAAGCACTTTACAAATAAGTCTGTAGAGGAGCCACAACGTTCAGCATCTTCCGGGTCCAAGATGAGTGATGTGAGTGTGATCAGGTGCAAGGGAGAAGTCTGACATCCAGGACGGTGCCTCTGACAGAGGTAGAGAAGTGACATGAGCTCTGTGAAACCCTGGGCTCCGGAGTGTCTTCCAAGCACGTGCCTTCCAGGATGTCTGAGCTCAGGGCTACGAGTGAGACATAGCAACTGGCTGATGGGGGGGAAGGGAGACACCTGCTTTGTATTCCGTGAAGCAGTACCAGTGCCAGCCTAGACAAAGATCCCTGCTGTTCTCCAAGCCCCAGGAGAGCATGACCATGGCTGACATACACAGGAGCAGCCAAGGTTCAGAGTAGGCATCAAGAAAAAAACAGAGGGTACCTGGAATGAAAGGGAGGGGGCAGTGGGAAGACCCCATATGGACTGGCCTAGGAGTGAGGTGCTGGCCTAAATCCACGCTCAGGTGCCCCTAGGAGTGGGGCGAGTGTGGTGGATGGAGCAATGTCCCTTAGAAAGAGGATGTACGGTAGCCCAGGTGCGTCAGCAGCAGAGTGAAGGCAGGCCATGGGATCTGCTGCCCGTCCCCATTAGTGTTAGATTACACCATGACAGTAGGGACTGGGGGCCCCAGCAAGGACGAGGCACTCATTGTGCCAGGCGCTGTACATAACACAGGGAGAGACAGCCCCTGCTGTGCAGAGCCTACAATCTCCACAGGTGAGCCAGAGGAGCCATGGTACAGATAGGGAACTGAGGCCTAAAGAAACTCGGGCCCAGAGTTACAAAGGGACTTAGGCGATGTGACGTTGGGCGTTGCGGAGCCTACCAAATCACAGGCTCACACTGGGATCCATAAAGCTGCGTTCAGTGCCTAGGGTCCCTATAAAATGCATGGGGAGAGACTTGCACCTGAGAATGTGCCCACAAAGCCAGCATGCTAGGTGGGACTGCCTAAGCCAGCCAAGGGGAGGTGCTGATACACAAGAGCGGGACTCCTCTGCCCATGGGACTTAGAACTTTTGTGAGTCCCTCCCCAAGTGACGGGCCCAAGCTCCCCCAGGGAGTCTGTGGCAGAGCTAGGAACTGAACGCAGATGTCCTGGCCCGGTACTAGGTGGCACCACACATCAGGAGCCTTTCACCTCTAGAGATATGGGTGGGAAAACTGGCCCATGAGTTAAGTCTCTTTCCAGGTCCCACATGTGCACATCCCAAACCCACTGCTAACTTAGCCAAAGCGTCAGGCTCCGCCCAGGAGAAATCCAAGACCACAACAACAGGGGAAGTTGCCAGCTAAATTTGTAGTGCATTGGCAGAGCTGTGTGGGGCAACTCCTGCAAGGACGACGGCCTGACACAAGCTGCTGCCATCTGTGTCTCACGAGAGTGCTGCATTCACTCGCAAGTAATGATACAAGAGAGTGAGAAGGAGAGTCATGCAGCATGGCATGTTACCCACAGTCCCACTGATCCTGGAGGGTTAAGCCAAGGTACACACCCAAAGCCCCAGTCTAGAGCAACAGGAGACAAGGGGAGCAGGCAGGCAGATCTCCATGACACTTCTCCCAGCTTCGGAAAAATCCATCCCAGGTGGCGGCCGTAACATCAGTAATAGGCCCCCAAAAGAGCAGTCACCTTCTGCAGCAGTTCCTTGTGGTTTGCGTACAGTGGAATTCTCTTGTCCACCAGCTGCCACCGGACGCACGCCTCTGGGTCGCTGCCCTGGAGAAACTGGGAGAGGAAATCAAAGACGTTACACGCAGGCTCACATTGCCACAGAATGCATATTTCCAGCTGCACTTGGCACGTGGCTGGCACAGCAAAGCCTGAGATGGGATGGCTCAGGTGTGGACGAGCTGTTTTTCCCAAGCCTTGATTACCCAGGACTAGCATAAGCACGGACCATTGGTGTTTTAACAAGGGAACGCCAACAGTGTTGGATAAAAGCCAGTTTCTGGGGCTATGTCCTCGCCACCAATGAGATGCCGTTCCTTCCCCCAGGACACAGCAATGGCCCGGCTGCTCTCCCTCAATGCTGAACGAAGGCGAGAGTCAGGCAGGTAATAGATTTTGAATGAAGGAAGTCATCTAACTTTCCTGGGATCTGGTCTCATGGTGCCTGCTGCTGCATGTACAGTCCTTACACAACAAACTTAACAGCATGCCCTGCTCCACCACTGCGCTTCTCCCTGGTCTAGGGTTGCCAACTGTCTAATCGCACAAACCCAAACACCCTAGCCCCGCCCCTTTCCCAAGGCCCCACGCCTTCCCCACCCCTTCTCCGAGGCCCCTTTCCCCCGCTCACTCCAGCCCCCCTGCCTCCATCGCTCGCTCTCTCCCACCCTCACTTGCTTTCACCAGGCTGGAGCAGGGGGATGGGGTGCAGGCTCTGGGCTAGGGGGTGGGGCTGAGGGGTTCAGAGTATGGGAGGGGGCTCCAAGCTGAGCCTGGGGCAGGGGGCTGATATGCGGGAGAGGGTTTGGGGTGAGGGCTCTGGGATGGAGTTTGGGTGCGGGAGGGGGCTCAGGGCTGGGGCAGAGGATTGGGGTGCGTCAGGAGGTTCGGGGTGTGGGCTTTGGGAGGGAGTTTGGGTGTGGGAGGGGAGTGAGGCAGAGGGTTGTGGTGCGGTAGGGGTTCAGGGTGCAGGCTCCGGCTGGGCAGTGCTTACCTCGGAAGTGGCGGCATGTCTGGCAACGGCTCCTGTGCTCACAGGTGGCCAGGCGGCTCTGCATGCTGTCCCTGCCTGCAAGCACCACCCCTGCAGCTCCTATTGGCTGCAGTTCCCCATTCCCGGCCAATGGGAGCTGCGGAGTTGATGCTTAGGACAGGGGCAGCACGCAGAGACCCCCCTTGCTGCGCCTCCTCCTAGGAGCTGCTGCCAGACATGTCGCTGCTTCTGGGAGTGGTGCAGAGCCAGGGCAGGTAGGGAGCCTGCCTTAGTCCCTCTGAGCCACTGGAATTTTTGCAGCCTAAAATCTCCTGGATTGGCTTCAGTAGTCTCCAGGAGATTGAGCCTGATTCCAGGAAACTCCCGGCCAAATCGGGAGGGTTAGCAACCCTACCGTGGTCTCTCCTCCCTCCCGCCTATTGCTCTCCTCTTGCAGACCCTTTTACTCCTTCTCCCCCCTGCCTGGCTCCATTTCTCCACCACTCCCATTGCTATCCAGGAGCCCTCTCTCACCTGCTCCTTCTCTGCATTGTCCAGGCTGGGTCCCTCCCACCTGCAGGCAGAGAAGCAGGATGGAATGGGACCACAAGACTTGTGGGCACACCACCACCACGCTGCTGAGATCTGGGCCATTCCCCGAGCTCTGCGGCTTGATCCCACACCCACCCAAGTTGGCATGAGGCTCTTCATTGACTTCAGTGAACGCCTGCTCAGCCCTGTCCTGGGGGCGAGGCCTTTCTGTACGGAAGCTAGTGCTTTGTGAGACAGAAGGCAAAAGGCATTTACCGAGTTCAGCTGCTTCATCTGCACGTCGTTCTCATCTTCAAAGTGCACGTTGATGGCCACTGTCTCGATCCAGGCATTGTCCATGTTCCTGGGGTCATCGACGTAGCCTTTGTATACCTGAGGGACAGAGGAGGCAGCTGGGAAGGGTTCCCCTTGGGTTTCAGTGTGCTAGCAGAAGGTCAGCTGTGACCTGGCTCAGGAGTGCTGGAACGGGGGGGCCATGCCCCCCCCACTTTTTACCTGCCGTAAGGGCGAGCGAGAAGGGGAGGGCGTGGAGAGGAGTGAGTGGGAGGCGGGCTGTTGGGGGGAAGAGAAGGCATGGGGGTGGGGCCTCAGGGAAGGGGTGGTGCGAGGGTGGGGCCTCTAGGAGTAGGGTGGTGCAGGGGCGGGGCTTCTGGGAGAAGGGGCAGCAGGGGGACAGGGACAGGGTTTGGGTACTGGTGGCCCCGCCCACTTGTAAGGAACTGTGACAGAGTGTGGGCTGTGGGAAAGTCCTGCTTTCACATACAGCATCCCTCTCATGGGACGGTCCTGCAGCCAGAGGTGTCCCAAGGGAACTCTGGCACATTGCCTGGGAGCTCTGCTTAACCACAGCAAGTCCCATGCAGTGGTTGTTGTGCCCTGCAGGACAATCCTGGCCTGTTCTACCATTCCTCCGTCCTCACTTCCGCAGACCACACCAGGGTCATGTACACAGATCTGCAGCCCAGGCTCATTCTGGGGGCCACTCTGTCCTGCATGGAAGGAATTGGCATGTTATCATCATGGGAATGGGTGTCTGATTCTTGTCCTGCTTCCTCAGCATGGTGCCATGCGGCGTGCCCAGCATACCTCTGCACCTTGGTTCAGCAGGTTCTGGAACTGTGGCCAGAACTCCCTCCTCAGGACCCTCTTCAGCTTCAATGGCAGCGATTCCCCTGGCTCCAGTGACCCCTGCACAGAACCAGACCATCACAACAGGGCACTGTCTGAACAGACAGCTGGGACTCCTCCCTGACTACAACAAAGAGAGCAGGCCCAATGCTTGCTACTAAGGAAGCAGGAGTTCCCAAACCATGCACTGCCCCAGATGGGGGGACAAGCATGGAGCATCCCACTGTCTGCTCTGGGCAAGGAGTGAAGGGATGCCCATGGCAGAAACTCCTCAGGTGTGCATGGAAATATGGTTTTGCACATAACTTAATTCACCTCTGGAACTTACTGCCACATGGTGATTCTGAGGCCAGGCTTTGAGCAGACACTCCTGAGTCAGAACTGACTGTTAAACTAGCAAGGAGGAAAATGATACGGACTATTAATCACCTGCTGGGCCGGGGGACAATGAAATGCCACTTGTAGTACTGTATTGCGTTATAAGGTGCATCCTGCACTGGACAGGCTACAGCCAGATGGACAACTGGGCTGTTCTGGCAGAATTATGAGACCTCTGGGCATGGGGGATAAGATGCCCTGAATCCCAGCTGGGGGCAGATTGTATCTCCCTCCTGCAGAGACCCACAGGGCCTATGTTTTACGTTTTGGTAACATGGGTGTAGCTTGTGATGCCAATAACGTCTCTCTGCACTGACTGATCTGCCTACGTTTTCTGAGCCTTTCAAAGCTAGGTCAGGTCGATGGGCTCCTTAGCACTTACCCCTGGCAGAGCCCAGTGATCTGATACAGGAGACTTGACAACTAAGACCTCCAGCATTTTCTTTAGGCTCTTTCTATAAATGGATCCATCCATATTCCTTCTCCAGCTACAAAAGAGAAATGTGTCATGCTGCCCGGGGAGCTGGCTCCTCCCGTACCTCCCCGTGGCGTGGCAGTGAAGATCAGTTTCAGTGCTCAGGGAGGGCGGTGATGGACTTTGCTGGAGACCCCGAGCTCTCACGAACATCATCAAAGAGATTACACGCTCTTAGCTTTTACATCTGTTAGAAAACAAGCCAGTTTCCCAAGATCCCCCAGCCCTGTTTGCAGGATAACAAGAGGAAAGCACGGCTCCTGAGATAAGAGGTTAAGCGTGGTTGTGGAGCCAGACAGACACCAGGGACATTTGAAGTCTAATCCTTTCTCTGCTCCCAATTCATCACGTGGCCTTGGGCTAGTCATTTACCCACTGGGGGGATCTAATACTTACCTATAAGAGTGCAGTGAGCATCAGTTAGCTAATGACTGTAAAGTGCTTTGAAAGAGTTAAGTGGTGTTTACTGTAAGTGCTAAGCAATAACAGAAGATTATCAAAGATCCAATTGCTACACAATAGCACCATGGTCTATGAAATAAGAACAGGCTGTTCTTTATTTAAAACAAAGAACGGGAATTGTTTTAGCAATACATTTCCTTCTGTACGACAGAGGCCTCTGCCCCGTGTGTTACAGATGTAATGTTCCTAGCTCAGCCAGTCGAGGGTGCTGCTCTAGTCAAGGAACTGCCACATGCCAGTAGAACGGTGTCCAGACGTGCAAGCCGAGATCTTACTTGCTGTACTCACCGCGTCACTATGGGGTGCAGTGCATGGTTCGGTCCAAAGCAGCGTAGGCTTCCTCGGCCTCGTAACCCCGTCCTGCCCATAGGATTCCTAGCACAGAAAGAGCCAGAGAGGCGTTGGTATCCCTTCGCCAGGATTATTGGCTTGTTCAATCACGCCGTCGCTCATGGAACTCAACAGCCAATGCCATGGGGTGACGCTGTGTTTGTTCAAACAACAAAGGCACTGGAAATGTTTCAGCACAGCACTGGAGGAATACACATTTCCACTCCCATTTTCGCTTTTTAGAGCTTTGGAAAATTCCGATCATCAAAGGATAATTGCTCAACCCAATTTCAGGAAATGAACGTAAACAAACATTCCAGATGTCTTCACCAGGATGGGAGACGTTATGGTGGCTTCTAGTTACGAGTGCACAGTGGGGTTACCCAGAGCAGTGGGGGGTGCATTGGAAGGTGGGAATGCTTCCACCAGGGTAGAAAGGGCCATGTCTCTTGGTTCTTGTTCACCATCCGGGAGCCATCAGCCATTGCCATTTTGCTTTGTCATGAGGCTTCTAAGGTGACAACTGCATGGAGCTTTGGTTGGTTTAGGATCAAGGGCACTATTTTCCACAGTGCCAGAGGCACCATCAGACACACAGCCTGGTCCCCGTCCATGGAGAGAAGTTTGCAGAGTGAAGTTGGGTAGAAATGTTTGCCCCTGTAGAACTTGCTTTGACACGTTAGGGTTTCTTTCCCTTTCCCCACCCCCAAGTGAACAGCTTGCCTCTTCCCTTGAAACTGCTGGGCAGATTGGAAAGGAGTGGGGGAGTCAGGCAGGGCAGCTGCAACATTTCAGGCTGTTTCAGGAAACCCAAGACCTGGTGAGTGGAGCTGGGCACCTCCTGAGCTTCCTTGTGTTTTCCAAGCACTGCTCAGGTTCACATAACATGGGGCAGGTAGCAGCCCCTCTTGCTGCTAATCTGAGGGAGATGCTGATGGAGATTAGGGACCTGATTCCGCCTCCCACCTGTGGGTGTATGTCAGGAACAACTCCCCTGGATTTAATGGAGTGATCCCAGACAGTGCGAGTGGAGAACTAACCACTCTGATCACAAGTGAGCAACCCACTGCTGCACCAGGCCTCCTTCTGCGTTAAGATCAGACATGGGCGGCAGGTATAATATGCCAGCTCTCCCCAAACCTAGGCCGTGGCCCTGCCCACGCTCCGCTCGGAAGCCCCGCCCTCGCTTCCCCTCTCCCCCGAAGCCGGCAGGGCCTCAGCTTGGGCAGCAGTCTGGAGCCAGGGCTCAGCCAGCCGGCGGCTTGGGCCAGCTGGCAGACTAGGACAGCCGGTGGCCAGGGAAAACTTAGGCTGGCCAGTGGCCAGGGTGGCTCGGGCTGGCTGGCGGCCCAGGGGTTGGGCTGGTGCTCGGGCCAGCCGCAGCCTGGGGGTCTGAGTGGTTCGGCTGGGGCTCCTCTGGCCGTGAGGGGGAGGGGAGCTCAGGGCTCCTGTGGGTGAGGGGGCGGGGCCTTGGGCAGAAGGGGCAGGGCTGGGGGCTAGGCTCCCCAAAGGGGGTGTCCACACGCTGCCCATGAGATCTGAGTCACTACACTGCACTGTAAGACCGCAGGGAGCACATCGGGCTTGTGACTGGCCTGACGTTGGGCTGCCCTCTTCCTCCCTGCCCCTGGGAGACATGGTACCACTGAGCCGGAGCCAAAGCGCCGAGGCAACAGAGCCAGTTTGCTTGGGCAGTGTTTGTGTGAGAAACCCCCCGCCCGGCTCACTCACAGTGGCAGCCTGTTCTGGATGGTATACGTGCCGTGGAAGCTCTGCCGGTTGATCAGTCCATCCATCGCATTGTAGTTTATCTTCGAAAGAGCCTCCAGGGAGCTGGAAGACAGAACAGAGCCCCTGTCCTCTTCAGCATGCACGGTGCTGGCCAGCAGCCACAAACACCGGCGGAGCCAGCTGGCTGGAGAGAGCCAGGGCTGGGCAGAGACAGCCAGCCAGTGGAGGAGATGGATACACAAAAGCCGGGGGCTGGAAGAGAGGTCGGGGGTTGACAGAATATGAGAGAGAGAGAGAGAGACTACCTGATCCCACACTCACTCTCTGAGAGGATCGCACGCAGCAATCTCCTTCCTGTCTGCCACGTAGAAGGGAGGGTCATAGATCTGGAACTCCACCTGCAGAGCACACAAACCACTTCACATGCATCCCTCTGGCCCAGGGGCACAGCCCTTCCGCCAGCGGCTCCAGGACGGCATAGCCCCCTCCAGAGAGCTGGCGGACCCCAAGGTGGCCCAGAGGAACTACCCTCCGAGGGATACACTTCCCACTGACCTGCAATGAGTGCCCAACTCTCTGCTGGAAACGGGACTCAGGTCAGCACAGGCACAACAAGGGGAGGCCCAGCATTCTCAGTGGGAAGTGCCCAAGGTGCAGCGTTTAATTCCGCAGGTAGGTCCGTACTCCCCTCGGCCTGCTGCACTGAGCTGCTGAGCTCCCTCCCCTCCCCAGGCCACGTGGCTCCAGGTCGAACCATGGCTGGAGGCCCCCACGCTTGACATCTTGGGCCTAGGGTCACTGAGTGAGGCAGCGTCAGAGCCGGGGGGCAGGGGTTCCTGGCTCCTGGCTCAGTGCTCTGCCCACTGGCCCTGCCTGCTTCCATCAACATGCCCCAAGCATCACAGGCTACGGCCCCTCTGCTCCGGGCAGATCTCCCAGCCACAGGCCCTGCTCTCTACAGTGGCGCTCTCCTACCTCCCAGGGCACCTTCTCGTCCGGCACTGGGAAACGGACTGTGGAGGAGCTGGGATAGAGGAGGTTGCGGGCGCTCACATGGTACAGAGCCATCGTCTCCTCGGGCTTCTCCTCCAAGCCGTATTCCTTCAGCTCTGGGGCTTTGCTGGGGACTGGGAGACAAACACAAAAGAGCTGAGACCCCCATGGAGCAGAGGAACGTGACCTCTGAGAAGGGTTAGGGTGAAAGCAATGGAGTTCCTGCTGCCTGCAGCCAGGGTTAGCTGGGTTTCCCCATAAGAACGGCTTTCCTTCACCACTCTCTGGGCCTGACCCAAAGCCCACTGGGATCACTGGACAGTCTCCTGCTGGGTCCAGTAGGCTTCAGGCCCTGTGCCCCTGGCCGCCCCCAAGTGGCGGGCATTGTCTGCACAGGACACTGACTATTGAAGATTTCGGCCTAGAACTTGCTATTTGTTGCATTGCCCCCATAGAAGTGAGTCTGCCTCCCCTCTCTTCCCCAGCACAGTTACACATATGCCCCTGCCACCTTCCCGTCCCACAGCCCTGCTCTCCCTGCATGGACCCCGAGGGCCCGGAGAAGGAATCCAGCATGGGAGGGAGCTGTGGGGCAAGTGGAGGTGGGAAGCTGCTGGGGAAGGGGTGGGAAGGACAATCTCCAATACAGTGGGGCTGGAGGCAGGGAGGGGAATTAGTAGGAGCCTGCTGCGCTGTGTAGCATCCAGCCGCCACGGCACAACCCACACGGGGTATGCGGAAGCTGGCAGCGAGCCTCCCAGCCTGGGCACAATGCCCCCTGCCTGCCATGGGAACAGGCGCAACCCCTCCTCCCTTCCCCCAGCTCAGGGCATCCAAGACTCTCTGTGCTCCTTCTGCAATGGGGCAGGGCCTGCTACCCAGCTCACCTAGGAGCCCCTTGCCCTGTCCTGCTCTCAGGCCTGGCAGCTGCACTGGCGCCAATCAGGCCTGCGCTGGAGCCAGCGGAGTGACGCTGGTGGGAACCCTGGAGAAGCGAGAGGAGAAATGGGTCCTAGAAGACAAAGGCTGGTCTTTCCTCTCACATGCTGTCAGTCAGAGACTGGCTGGACTTACCCACGGTGGGTGCGTCCTCCTCTGAACCAAATCCATTCCCACGCAGGGCCCGCACGATCCAGGCCAGGGTCTTGGCAGTCTGGGACATCTATCCAGAGCAGAGCAGACCGTCAGGGAAAGCCACCTCCCAGAGCTCCCACCCAGGGCCCAGCTCGGACATGGGCGGGGGAGGTGGGGAGAGAGGGGCGGGTGTGGATGCCCCATTTCCAGGCTCAGGGATGTGGTTGGGTTTCGGTTTAGTTCAATTTTACTGTGATTGTGAGAGCCAGAAGGGGCGTTGCCCCGCTTTGTCAGGACAGTGGTTGGAGCGCCCCTCGCAGGAGACGGTCTCAGGGGGTGTAACCCTCCGTGTAATTCCTCTGACCTTGGGACTGAAATCAGTGCCCAGTTCTGCTGGGCTTCCTCTGCTGAAGGGACTCAAATGGAAGAGGAGCGGAGGCTCAGCGGTGGGATGGGACTATATTGCCCCTCAAATAGCGCAAGTTTTCCCAGAGTAGCTTGGATGAGATGTCTTGGCTGCCTGATCCTGAGTACAACCCACTCCCCAGCCTCTGACCCACTCCCTGGGCCTCCCTCCCCCATGACCTCCCGTTCCTGAACATGGCTGGCTGCCCAGGCCCCAGCCCAGTCCCCCCCTCCCAATCCCAAATGTCACCCACTCCACGCAAGGCCATCTGTGACAACATCTGTCCTCTCCACGCGCCTCGAGCTCTGTCTCACCTGCTCTTCCAGACCAGTCAGCCTCTGCTCCACCAGTCCGGTCCTCTTCACCTGATCCAAATCCAGCAACTCCGCCAACACATCCACCCTGTGAGCGGGTGAGAGGAGACAGGGGCCTTGGGGAACGAGGCGCTGAGCAGGCGTCCCACGCAGCGACATACAGCCAGCGAGGCACTGCTCCAGGGTCAGGGCAGCCTGCGTGCCTTCACACAGCGCTGCCCACAGACCTCCTGCCCCTCACGCAGCCTGCCAGCTCAAAGTGCCGAATTCCTGCCTTTGCATTCCCAGCGCCCCTCACTGTTCATCGTCCCTGGTGGATGCTGGTCAGACCCAGCTCTGAGAGGAGGCAGGATGGAACTGCCCCGGGGCAGCTCTGCGGAGGGTTGTGCCTCAGTGTCCCCCGCTCCCTGGAGCACAGCTGAGTGTGCACGTGGCACATCCCTTGGCAAGGCAGAGAGGCCCGCTCCTCAGCAGCCATGCTGGGGGCTGCTCCTCCCTGCCCATGTGCACAGGCTGGTGCAGAGTGCATGGAGGTGGGCCAGCTCCTTGCCTTCTTTGCGTTGGCAGCAGGGCCAGTCTGGCCCATACTAAGTGAGAGGTTCAGCACACGTGAATGACACACCACTAGCCATGCATAACTGCTGCTCAGGCCCTGCTCGCTCGCTGCTGCATCTGGCTAGAGCTGTAGCCTTTGGTTTGCCCCTGAGTCCCATTTCTGCAGATCACATAGACAGTGGAGGCCACAGTATCCTGCAAGCTCACCCCGAGGTGCAATGTGGCCTGGGCAAGGGCTGGCACACACCTACCTGCCTTCTACTTGGCTCTGCCCAATGCCACCAGGCAACTTTCGTGTGCACTAAATCTCCTCACAAGCTGCATTGCGTGTCTCACCCACAACCCACCATCTCCCCTGCCAGTGGCTCTGCCACAGCAGACAGCAGGCTTAGCATGGCCCTACAGCCATAGGCGCTGACTCCGTGGGCGCTCCAGGGCTGGAACACCCACGGGGAAAAATTGGTGGGTGCTCTGCACCCACCGGCAGCCAAGCTCCCCGCCCCGGCCCCCCACTCCAGCTCACCTCACCTCACCTCACCTCTGCCTCCTCCCCGAGCACGCCGCTTCCCCACTTCTCCCAGCTCTTGCTGCCATAAAACAGCTGTTTCGCGACATAACGAGCTCTGGGAGGGAGCGGGGAGAAGCGGGAACACGGCGCACTCAGGGGAGGAGGCGGGGAAAAGGCAGGGCCGGGGCGGGGATTTGGGGAATGAGTCCAATAGGGGCAGGGAGGGGGCAAAGTTGGGGCAGGAACTTTTGGGAAGGGGTTGGAATGGGGAGCAGGGGTGGAGTTGGGGAGGGGCCAGGGGCTGGGTGGGGTCAAGCACCCACCGGCACCAGGAGAAGTTGGCGCCTATGCCTATAGCCCTGCAGAGAATGGGCCACATCCTGCTCTCATTGACACCTGTGCCAGCCCAGGACTGTCCAGGAGCCATTATGCCAGAAGTAACTGATAGAGTGAACAGGGCTCTTCATGGAGCCTCCAGGTCCAAACTGCTCTTTGACACTCCAAACGTACCCTCTGGACATGCAAGGGCTCCAAATCACTCCCACACATATGCCCTATATCTCCGCTGGCTGCGGGATAGGGGCTTCCATTGGCCTCGGCGGGCCCCCTGTCGCTGGGGCCAGAGAACTAACTAACAGTGATTCTTTCCTTGTCTCCAGTGCACCTGAGCCCTAATAATCCGACTGCTCTTCTCCACTGACCTATCCCTCTGCTCCGGACTTCACTTGAGCCCATCGGGTCGACAGAAGGAGTCACTGCAGAGGGATGCTCGCTTCCCAAACCACTGAGTGCACTGCCCCTGCAGCATCCCCAGCCAGTGCCAGCCAGGGTCCCAGGGAGAGAAGCCAAGTGCATTGCAATGCACCCTCGGCAGGGCTCAATGCCATTCATGCTTTTCGGGTAGGTACACCAAGTGTTGCTTACCTTGGGCTGAGTTTGCACTATAAGCCCCAAAACCACTATCATCGATCCCTTGGTCTAGTGCTTGAGCACTGAACAGACCAAGGGAAGAGAAAGATCTCACTCTGATGGCCCCCGATTGAGGAGACAGGTTCTGGAGGGAGCTCCAGCAGCCTGTTAGCGTGCTGGGGGCAATGGGAATGGGAGCGAAACAGCTGGGTTATAAGGAAAGAGGCTGCGAAAGGGAAACAAAGTATTGCTGATCTATAGTCCCAGCAGTGCGATGAGTCCCTGCACAGATTCTGTCACACCTGAGCCGGAAGCACTGGATGGGAATGCCCCAGGGCTATCACAGCTCCATGCGCTGGGGGCAGGGTGCGATGGGTTGGTAATAATGCACGAATACTCTGTGTCAACCTGGTTGTTGGCATGTTACCGTGAAAACTGCTTGAGTTTAGTTTAATGGGGGCTGTCAGGAGAAACAAGCAGAAAAGGATAAGCCACTTCTTCACAAACACTTAAGGGCTGTTAAGGGACAACGCCAGGACGGGGAAGGCCCAGGAACACTGGAGAGCCAAAGAACTATAGTGGGGTCTAAAAAGGGGGCCTCTCTCTCAAGAGAGGGGAGTAGCTGTTTGGGGGCGCCAGACTGAGACAGCCCCTGCTGGGTCGTGTGAAGAAGCCAGGCCTGCCTGGGATGCCGGGGCTTTAAGTAGGAGAGATATGCATGTAGACGTGGTTGTTTTTCTCACCGGCTTCAGGGGGACTAGGAAGGGGGCCCTGGGGATAGCCGCCCAAGGCTCTCCACTCAGAGCTCCCTTCGTGACGGCAGAGAGCACTGACACCCACGGGTCTTTCCTAGGGGAACGCGGGCGAGATGGGCCGGTACCTCTGCACGACGTCTCGGATATTTTGCTCCATGTTCTGCTTCTCCTGGCTCTGCTGGTGCTGCAGGTAGTTCTCCTTCAGGTACGTCTCCCAGGAAAGAAGGGCCACTTCCTCGTTCTTCTCCAGCTTTTCTTCTGCAGGAGAAACCGAAGAGCTGAGCACCAGAGGAGAACCCCCAGGTCCCTCAGACCCAGGCCCTACTCCAGGCCACTCAGACCCCAGTGGTACTATGTCTCCTCCAGATCCCAGTCAGGCCTGGAGAACGTCATCACTTCCCCACGGCCCTTTGAGCCATGGCATTGCAATGCTGCAAACCCCTGTGGCCCGCGATGCACCGTCGCCCTGGCCCAGCCTAGCGGAGGCGAGGCCCCACCGTGTCACGCCCAGCCTGGCCTGGTCTGGCCTGGGAAGGAGCTCCTTACTGAGTTGTTTGTGCCGCTTCGCTGGCTGCCGGAGCAGGACCCTCTTGATGAAGAGCTGCAGGTGGTTGAAGAGGATGAAGGGCGGGGGAGCAGCAGGCCGGCCGTGATATTCCTCAATCAGGTCGTGCCGCTGGAACTTCCAGATCTGGTCGGTGTGCTCCTGCACTTGCTGGAACGTGTAGCTGGGAGGAGGGCCCAGGGGGCGAGGGGTTAGCTATGCTCATACCAGCTAGTGCCAGGCAGGGGCTCTGCAAGCCGGCACTGGGCACCGCCCCAGGCACAGCGCTCTGCCCTTCTCGCTGGCTTCCAGCCTTGATTTTCCTTTCATTCCTGGCCTCCCTTCCTGCTGCTCTGCAGAGCACAGGGGTTGGCCCCAGCACAGAGGGGTGGACGGGCTCCCAAAGGAGGGGCAGGTGGACCCTTGCCTGGGGGCCTGCCAATGTGTCTGCACCACAGCACCCAACCAGTTCACCAGCACCAGGTTCCTCAGGCTTTTGGCTGGTACCTCAGGCTTGCATCTAGAGCAGGTCACCTGACATCTGAGCCAGTGTGCCCGGGAGCTAGCCTGCGTGCTGGCCAGTGCAGCTGGGACCCCACATTCACCTCTCAAGCTGGTCAGGGCACCCACGACCCCCAATCCACACACCCCCAGGCAGGTCAGGTCACCTGGCGCCCCCAATCCACCCCCCAGACAGGTCAGAGCACCTGGGAATCCCCAATCCACCTCCCCAGGAACGCCAGTGCAGCTGGGACCGTCCATCCACCCCCCAGGCAGGTCAGGGCACTTGGGGCCCCAATCCACCCCCCTCCACATAGACAAGTGCCTTGAGCCGTGTGTCTGAGCAGTTCCTGGAACCCACCCGGGCTAGCGCCTGCAATGCCTCGCTGCTGAAGCCCCTATACTGCTTGCCCCCGAGCAGTGGTATGCCTGGCATGCTGTCCCCCTCACACCCATTTACTCCAGCACTGAGCAAACCCCCCCCATTTACTATAGCATTAATTCACCCTTTCTTCGCCCGATGGCCCCCCAGAGGTGCAGTGAGCAGGGGGTGGCGGTGCTGGGTCGGACTCACTTGAACATGGCGATGAGCAGGTTGAGGAGGAGAATGTTTGTGAAGAGCAGATACAGGCAGAGCAAGATGACTGTCAGCCATTCGGGGAAGACAGGCCGCTTATCCTTATTGCTCTCGGGGCACTTGGGCTTGTAGGGGTCTGTTCCATTCGGGCTGCACTGATCCAGATTGAAGTTCACCCCTGCGAGAGAAGAGACCAGAGTTTCACATTGGCAGGCTCTGTCATTGTCCCAGCTGTGTGTTACATGCTGCTGTTCTGGGCAGCTCTGCATGGACCCAGCAGCCCACCTTAAACAGACTGGCTTAATAGCAGCCATCTTAATAGCAAACACTAGTTTGTTCCTGCCCGTCCAGGCCAGGGAGTTCCGTAGGGAACTCAAACTCAGTCCCTGCATGGCGCAGCTGCACCCAGCTGCCTCTAGGACGCTGGAGCAAGAGACGCTTGTAACTGACTGGTTGTTTCTTAGCAGCTACTCATGGGTAGGAAAGCGGCTGGAGCTTTTTTCTCTGCTCCGCTCCCGAGGCTGCCAGGTGCAGTCACTCATCAGTGATGAGTTACCCACTAGACTTGGGAGAACAGCGTTGAGCTGACCCGGCAATGAGTGGAATTCAGGCCTCTCTCAGAATGGTGAGTCATTCACACCGGATTCCCGATTCCGGAGACTGTCCTTTGCATGTGCATGTACGTTTGGAATCATAGTTCCCATCCTCAGACTGGCTCCCACTGCTTTATTCTAGCTGTCATTTACAGCATGCGATTGGCCACATGGTGTTGTTTCTGCTGCCTGACTGGGTCAGAGTAACTCTTTAAGAGGAGAGACATGACTAATAGCAAACCCGGCACTTCCCCTGCAAATGTGCAACCCCTTCAGGAGTCGCAAATATTTCCATGGAAACCAGTGATGGTCATGTGACTGCATGACTAATGAATGGCACCACCACACCCATGCCAGCAGAGCTGTGGGTGGAGACACTATTTGGGATGCATTTGTGAAGGAAGTGGAGAATGCTGGGAGAGTCAGGCAAGGGTCCCTGCTGCTGTTGGTCCTGATCCTTAAAGATGCTGAGCACCCTCAATGCTCTGACAGCAACAAGAGCTGAGAGAGCTCAGCATCTCACAGGATCAGGCTCTTAGGGTCACTTTAGTTTTAGTTTCTCCTGTCTCTGGTGACCCCTCATGCCACCCTCTCCGACACAAGCACTGAGCCCAAGTCTCCACTCCATGACATCAGTTTGATGGGTGTAATGATCCACTGGCTTCAGTGGGCCTAGACCAATTGATACCAGCTCGCGATCTGGCCCATTGACTTTGAGGGAGTTGCCTCTGCATCAAGCAGGTGTCCTGGAAGGGATGCGCTGGCCCGTTGTGTTTATTTCTACAAAATTCCTTCCTCAGAGTGGTGTGAAAGTAGGGAAGGGGCTCATGTCCTTCTGTGACGCTGGTCTGAACTAGGGTGTGCATGGTAAAGGACACAGCAAACCAGCTCTGGGCACAGCCCCAGATTCACTCCTCTCTGCCCTTCTCGCTCTCTCTGTCTTTCATGTTTTATTTCAATTTCATTCTTTCACTCTGAGCCTCATTTCCTGCTGTTCTGGGTCAAAATCTCAGAGCCGAGCTGCTACTGGACTCCTGCTGGGAAGCCGCGGAGCTGCGTGGAGCCCCTGCGCACTGGCAGGACGAGACTAGCTGTTTCAGCCATACGAAAACAGCACAGGGGTGTCTCTGCACTGTAACAAAGGCTTTGGAAATCTCATGGCCCAGCCAGGAGCCTGCGAGAAACCCTGGGTTCCGTACCATCGATGTAGGAAGGGATCTGCCCAAAAATGGTCAGGTAGGAATGGTAGACGACGCCCCGGAAGATCCAGTCCACACGCTCCTCGTTATGGATCAGGATAGCTTGCTTGGCTACGCCAAAGGACACAACCCAGACAGCCAAGAGGAAGAGGAAGAAGAAGACGTCCTTCATCTGCAAAGTCATGAGACAACGCAGGAGTGAAAAGGTTCCTCTCCACAGATCAGGTGCAGAGAATTACACCCTCTCCCAGAACGAAGGCATGCACACCTCCGATACCCGGATCACATGTAGGCCCCACTCTGCTCCTACTGACATCATGCCATCTGCAGGGGGGAGTAGCTCTTACCATTCTCTTCACTATGATGATCTTGGGCCCCAGAGTTTTACTGACTGTGAAAATATGCATCAGCCGCAAGCAGAAAATAATAAAAGCCAGAGACAATATGATCCGTCCTGGATATAAAGTGGATGGGATCCATCTGACACAGACAGGGGAAAGGAAGACATATCAGTGCATTGGCTTACCCAATGTTACTGCCTTTTTATAACAGAAAAATTCACAGCCTGCTTTCCTGGGGAACAAATAAGTCTACCCCGAGAGTCCCATTTGAGAGAGAGAGATACAGCACACAACCTATCCGACGGAGTGACACAGCACCTGGGGACAGCGCGGAGCTGGACAAAATGATCCCTGTTTCCATGAAAAGTTTCATCCCAATTTTGAATGTAGATGTTACATTGAAAAAATTCCAACCACCTCTTTTGCAAATTCCCCTCCCTGGTTTTCCAGCAGCTCCAGCAAAGAAGCAGTTTTATACCGTCCTACAGAATCCCACGTACTCACCGGCAGGTCAACCCTGTTATAAAGATCAAGATGGCGCAAACATCCAGTTTATTCCAGAAATCACTGAAGTACAAGGAAGCCATTTTCAGTAACCCAAAGCCATCGGGGTCATAGAACAGCTGTTAGGAAAAGAAGTGGTTTCGGTATGTCAATAAACAGAACATAGGCTGCTTCTATGCACTTGAGACAGCAATTGTGGCGCTGGGTCCCCAACAGGAATCTGAGCTGGATTTCAAGGGGGTGGGAGGAAATGGGGGAGTGGGCTTCAATTGATAATGAATTTCCCTGCCATGGTGATTTTGGCACCAGGAGAATACTCAACAATCCCTGAGACTGGGCCCTCTGGTGTTCTTCAGACATCATTCTACCCCGGTGACCAAACTTCATTTAAAGTTACTGAGGCGCTTGGTGTTGGCAGCACTTAGCTGTTTTATGTTCCGGCCTAAACCTCTGAAGAAGGTGGCAGGTTCTGTTCTTAGATGTCCTGTAAAATATTTGCGAGTGCATTTGAGAGGCTGACCTAGAACTCTTCTTTTGTATAATGGAGTGAGGCTGGGAATCTGACTGCGGTTATTTCCAAAGGGACCGGTAGGATCCTTGCATACACCCCCATGGCTGATTCATTCTTACTGTTTTCCTTTTGGCCAAACCCTGAGATCATTTCTCAGTGATCTGAGGAACGAAAGGGCAATGAATCTCCAGTATCACATCTTGGAGCACTTTGGAGCTCTGCTAACCCACTTTCTAACATGGCTTGACTGCTTAGCTGTGAGAAGTGGGCCAGATTCTCAGCTGGCTCATAGCTCCACTCAAGTCACATAGACCACCTCTCTAGAAGTCAGGGGCACTTGTGCTATCGACACCAGCTAAGGATCTAGCATTTTCTGTGATTCCATCTCAGTGAGTTATGAATCCTTGCTGGTGATGATGGCTCTTTGTCGTCCCACGGGGTTACAGAACAGATCTTGGGTTCACCTTAGCTCTGGGACAAACACACAAGGACAGCTCTTCCCACAGAAACAATCCCTGTCTTCCCATCTTCTCATCTATGCTACAGTTATGGGACAGTTTCTGTGGGAAGATGCAATATTCCATCCACACATGTGCTGAGAAGATCCCCCCCAGGCTCCTGATCAGGTCTCTTGGAACCACCCCAATATATCCATGCTTGGTTTTACAGGGGACTCAAAGCACAGTGAGACAGGCTGTTGGGAGATACCCCTGGGTCCATAAAGCTGCCAGTTCCTTATTTCAGTACTGAGCCTTAGTGCCTTCATTTAAGAAGGTCTCAGTATCTTGGGCACTTCTCCTCCTTCCCCTGACTCAGCCCAAAAGTATCCACAAGAGCAGTTCAAACAAAACCTTGGGAATGCCACCAACTTTCTCTGTGGGTACTGGGGTCTCCTGAACTATCCCTCCAGTTCAATCAGCCCAGAATATCAGTGACTCTCTCTGTAATCGCTACAAATCGCCAAAGGACCCGTTAGTCCCTCACGCTATGTCATGGATTTGGAAGGGTAAATAGGGCCGACAGGTGGAGGCAGACTACGAAATGCCGGAGATACCAAAATTTTCTCCCCCGACTTGGATTAGGCCTATGCCCTCAATGCTTTCTAGTAAGCATGGGAGAAAATATTTGGTGCTAAAGAGCTCTTTAATCTTGGGGAAAAGGCAGAACAAGAACCAATGGCTGGAAGCAGAAGCCAGACTGATTCATATTGGAACTAAGGCCCATGTTTTGAACAGGGAGGGTGAACCCATGCCACCTTCAGCCAGCTTACCTGGGTATGTGCTCCCAGCCTGCCAGCGCAGGCCTGTGGCCACTGGTGACTGCTAGGGCTGCAGTGCCAACCCTGGAAACTCTCCCCAGCCCCTTGAGGAGGGGCAGCTTTTTCTGGTTTAGGGCTGCTGTTACTCTTATCGGGGGAGGGGGACTAGGGGGCCATGGCCCCATCACTTTACACTGGCCAAAAGGGTGAGGGATGGGGGTGAGGGGGTGGAGAGGTATCGGGGGAAGAGGCAGCGCAGGAGCGGGATCTTGGGGCAAGGTGTGATGCGAGGACGGGGGAGAAGGGGCAGGGCCTCAGGGGGAAGGGGCGGGTGCAGGAGGCAGGGCCACGGTTCGGGTGCTGGTGACCCCGCCACTTTTAGGGAGCTTCTCTCTTTAGGGAGCTTGCCTCTCATTCTATGGTGCTTTCAGGCCCTTCATCTTTTCCCATCGCAGCTTGCTAGCCCAAGACATCTAAGCACCGGACCGTACTGCTGATATTTCTGCTCTGCCACCTTCTTCAGAGGTTTCAGCCGGGACATAAAACAGCCAAGTGTTGCCAACACCGAGCACTTCTGTAACTTTAAATGAAGATTAGTTGCCAGGGCAGAATGATGTCTGAAGAACACCAGAGGGCCAAGCGGGAACAAACTACCATGGGAAGTGGTGGATTCGCTGTCTCGGATTGACTAAAGCACATCTTCCCGAAAGGCGTGCAGACCCAAGTGACTGAGCTTGACACTGGTGTGGCTGGGTGAAATTCTCTGGTATATGACGTACAGCAGGCCAGACTACAGGGCCAGCCTTAGAGGTGGGCCACCCGGGTGACTGCCCAGGGGCGCCATGGTGCAGAGGGTGCCGTGCAGGAGTGCAGAGGTGTGCGCTGCCAGTGTAGTGTCAGAAACTGCTCCTGGCTGGCAGGGGAGCACGGCTCGGGGGAGGTGCCCAGATGTCTCCCTGCTTCCTCCCATCAGAGGAACATGGGGGGGAGCAGTGACACACATACTGCTCGCCCTCCCCATGTTCCAGGGGGCTGCAAGGCGGGGAGCGAGGAGCAACGCCAGGGCTCCCTGCATCCAAGTCACTTTCCCCACCCAGGCTGTGCTGTGAGGCATCAGGAGCTGCTGCTCTCCTGCCCTCCCTTTACACAGCCCAGGTGGGGAACAACCCCTGACGTCACTCCCCACTCACAGCCCCCGAGGGGTGCGCGGAGAAGCAGCGTTCAAGGGGGGGGCGAGCATCAATGCCAGCCGCTCTGTGCATCCAGGTCACTTTCCCCATGTGGGCGCAGGGGTTGGGGCGCAGGGGACTGGGGAGTCTGGAGAGCACGTGGAGGCCAGGGGCAATGGCGGGGGGGCACCCACAGGAGCCAGAGGGGATGGAGGGCACTGCATCCACAGGGGTCAGAGGTGCCAAAATACAAGTTCACCCAGGGTGACAATTTCCCTAAGGCCAGCCCTGCCAGACTAGATGGTCCGAAGGGCCCATCTGGTGTGAACCCTGTGAGCGTGGCACGTGAGAGCGCGCGAGTGAGTGTGTGGCCAACTGACAGGTGTGACAGCACCATTTGGCTGGCATAGGTGATGGGACTGTTGTGGGAGCACACACAGCAGTGAGAAAACAGGAACAGCTGCTGCCTGCTGCCCTTCCGAGAGACCCTGGGGGGGGCAGCCCTCGCTGACTGGGAGAGAGGCCCGGCAGAGCCTGGATTGCAGCATCACCACCATCTCCCCTGCCCCCCCACGCCTTTGCTGAGCCCACCCCGTACCTGGCGGGTCTCCTCGCACACCAGGGAAAAGAGCCAAAAATAGATGATGTACTCCCGCCAGGACGGCGTCGCCTGGAAGTCGATCATCAGGATGTAGGCGAAGAGCCAGAGGAAGCTGAAGTAGGAGAGGATGTTCAGGTGGAAGATGACGACGGGGGCCGTGAAGAAGGCGTGGGTGCGTCTCAGGCAGCTCATGGGCTGCAGCCTCTTCTCCCTGCATGGGGGAAGGAAGCAGGAAGGAACAGCTGACTCAGCTGTTAGAGGGGAGCTGGACGCAGCTGAGTAGGACCAACCGGGAGAGGCCTTGCTCTGAGCAGTTATAGTGCAGCTAGGGAACCCTGGGACTCTCCCCAGCCCCTCGGGGACGGGAAGGTTTGCCTGGCCCAGGACTGCTATTACTCTCATTATACTGTGCTTTAAGACCCCTCATATTCTCCCATCGCAGCTTGCTAGGCCAAGCAATGCCATGCCCAGGAAGATGTTGGGGCAGCTGCTGCGAGGAAAGAGCCCAGCTCTGACAGAGTGTCCTGGCTGCCCCCAAGGCTCACCAGTGCCCACAGGCCTGTGCTGGCCGGCTGGGATCACGTTCCCGGGTAAGCTGGCTGAAGCTGACAGCAGGACAGGATTGCTGCTGCTAGCTGGCACAACAGTGCTCAGTGAGCTCCAAGGGCTGGGCCATTTCTCCCACGGAGTAGATCAGCCAGGCTGCCGGGGCACGAGCAGTGCAGTGTGGGATGGCAGCGGGCATGGGTGGTGGGTATTGCAGGCCACAGGAGGCTGAGCCTCCCCAAAAAAGCCAGGTGTGGCCTGCCCTCGCTCCACCCTGAGACCCCCTCCTGCTTCCCGCTCTTCCCCCTGGCCTGGGCTGGGGCTAGGGTGGGCCGGCCTGTGGCCCAGGACTCAAGGCAGCTGGGGCCAGTGCTCGGGCTGCCTGGCACTGGGGCAGCCTGCCTGGCATGCTGGGGCTGTGGGTGCTGAGCCAGCCTGCCCGGAACTCTGGGGCTGGGGGTGCTCAGGCAGCCTTGAGCTGCAGCGGGAGGGGGGGGGGGCGGTGGCCATGGTGGGGGGCTCTCGCAGGGGAAGGGTGTGGTGGAGGGCGGGACCGCAGGCAGAAGGGGCAGGGCCAGGGCTAGCCTCCCTGAATGGGCAGTTCACGCGCCACCCATGGCAGTGGGAGAACTATTTACACCAGTGGCCAGCCCGAGGATGCCGCAGTGGCACAGGGGAGAGGCAAAGGAGGGAAGCAAGCACTCTGCAGTCAGGGAATGCGAGTCCTACAGTCCGACTCCCAGCAGCGCACGGCAGCTAGGGCCAGGGCCACGTGCCAGCTCCATCCTGGGAGCCCTGGTGGTACCTGAAGGTGATGAAGCTGGTGTAGATGAGGGGGAAGAACACCATGCACAGGATCACCCTCCAGAGCCCGTTGTCCACGCACAGCTTCCCCCACCAGACTTTGGTCAGAAAGGCCTGGGTGCGGCAGAGGAAGGAAATCAAGCTCATATGGAGCCCAGAGCTGGCCCCCTTCATCCCTAGCTCCAGCCTTGCTGATCCCAAACAGAAATGTTGCCGTGTCCCACCCCACCCCTGGCCAGATCCACACCCCTCACATAGATGGCTCAGTGAACAACCCAGGGCCTGCCCACAGCTGTGCCAGATGGAAGCTGGCAGAGGTTGGTTTGCTGAGTAGTTCACTAGTCTGGATGGTGCACAGGGACCCCGTGTGGCCGAGGATCAGTGAGTGGCCACCAAAGAGCAGAGGAAATGGACTGCAGGCAATGAAACAATGTGGGCAGCCAGTGAGTGCCGGGGCGGGGCATTCAGGGCAATCTGAGAGCGTGTGCGAGCTCCTGTGGGGAAGCACTGGTGTGCAGGGAGCCCATATGCCACAGCACGTCCCCTCTCTCTTCGAGAACAGGTTCATGGGCTCTGCCCTTTCCAGGCAGCATGGCACAGGATCGATGCAGGCAATGGGTGCAGGCACTCTCAGAGCAACAGGGTGCCATGGGAACAGGACATCTGGTGGAGCCTGAGCTGCCAGACATGCTCCCCTGGCCAAGCTCAGGCAGCGGGAGACAGTGCTGGGGGAGCCAACACAAAGCCCTGGCAGTGGCGTGCCCTCCTTTGAGCCCCACACCTAGGAAGCGGGATACTGGGCCCTAGCATGGGACAGGGAAGAGGTGGGTGCCTCCTCCCAGCCTGGAAACACACCTGGATGCCTCCGTGGGACACAAAATTCATGTTCTTGGCCTCCAGCGCCAGCTGTAAGCAGGTGGTTTTGCCCCAGGCTTCCGAGACTCGGATAAGGAGCTTCTGGGCTCTCTCCTCGTCCTTGCGGTAACACTCTGTGAACACGCCTAGCAGGGCAGAGAGCAGAGCCACACGTGGGCAATGGGCCAAAGAGAGGCTAGTGCCCAGCGTGGATCGAGCCCTGCGCCGCGGAGGAGACAGGCTGTTCCTGGGGATGGGGCCAGAGGCAGCGCCATTCAGCCCGGCCCCAGAGCTTCCTGTCCTTTTCAGGGCCCTGCGTTGGCCCAAGCTTCAGATGCAGGCTTTGTGCACCTGCTAGGCTGGAGATCCATCTCTGGAGTTAGTCTACTCTGTCATGGCATGTCCAGCTGTGCTCTGAACAGATTCCTGCTGACCTCTGAGCCCAGCACTCTTCACAGGCCCAGCCATTATGTTGCACTGTGGCCTCCGCTCCAGCCTCTCCTACCCGGCACCAGACACATTTCCCAGCCCCCAAGCAACAACTTTCCAAACAAATGGCCCGAGCCCCATATGTGTGTACCAAACACCCTGGTCCAGGTACAGCACCCACCATGTCCCTAAGGCCAGCCAGCCAAGCATGGCTTTGTGTCGCAGACGCCCAGGAAATAACTATCCACCTCTGTGTACCAACGCTCCTAGCCAAGGGGTATCTGGCACCAGTACATGGCACTGGAATAGTCAAGGCCCACCAGATCCCACCTTGCCCTGCCTGGCATCTGGACTGTGGAGCGACATTTGTCGTCGGAAATCACCAGCCATTGTCCCCAGCCAGAGGGAGGGGCAGTGCCTGACACCAGTCGGAACCAGGGAGGGACCAGGAACGGACTCAGGAAAAAGAGCAGTGGCTCCAGACAGAAGGAGGGGCCGATAGTGCGACGCTGTTGTCGCTGGTGAGTTGTTGGGAGCAGAGATTGACCCTGGGATCTCTGGATCTAGATACATGAGCTGCAGCTGCCTGAGCTAAAGGACCCCCCACTAGCGGGGAACAGATCACCGCGTGGAGCGGGCATGGCATATGGTAACAACGCTCACCAATGGCTCGGTGCTCATACTCCTCTGCCAGGGTCAGCATTTCCTCCATGCTGTCCGTGTCGTCCTCCTCCTTGGACAGCTCCTTCAGGATCTTGCTGCAGGCCAGAGCCCCCGCAATGCAGTCCTGGCTCTGAGAAAGCAGGGGACAGATTAGCAAGAACAGGGAACTCCCATCCTGGAAGCCAGTAGAGCCCCATGTGTCTGCTGGAGGGAGAGGAGTGGGCAGTCCCAGGCTGAGCGCCACAGAGAAAGGCCAGCATGACAAAGCAGGGCTGGAAGTGATGGCAAATGGGGCTCCTGGCTAGACAGGTAATTCCAGCCCCTGCCGAGGCTGCAGTGTACCCCCCACACTGGGGCCAGGTGCTGCCATGCCCTAGAGCTGCCCAGGTCTTTGGACCATTGCTGGGGAATGCTGCAGTGGTTTGTCGTTTAAAGGGATGCTCTTTCCTGGCCAGAGCTTCTTCAGCACAGGAAACCCTCCACACACCCCTTGCCCTGTCCATGAGCATCCCAGCACCTCCTCCCTTCCTGCCCAGGGAACTGGGAGCACCCTGAGCTGGCCCAGGACATGGCACCACCACCCACGCTGCCTGCTGGGAAGGGATCTCTCCCTAAGGCCTACAGCTCGCTGTTCCTGATGGCCTTGGCCAGTTCTACATGCAGCTGCTGCACTAGTAACACAACCCAGGCTGGGAGAGGGGGGCGCTCTGTCCCCTTCTAGTGGCTGCTCCGGGTACGAGACTTGCCCTTGCTACAGCTCTCAGGTAAGGGCCTCCACTGCTGTGGGTTCTCGAGCTGAGCTATCTTGTGCCTTGGCCTAGCTCAAGAGAGCCTGGGCACAGTGCCGAGCAGCGGGCACGGCCGCATGCTGCCATTACTCCCTGCACTGGCGCTGGGCCCACTGGAGAGACATCTGGGCACATATCCTGTGGGTCCTAGCACCCCAACTCACTGTGCGGCTCTGTGCTCGCTTTCATGGGGCATCATGGGACAACCTGGCTGTCCCTCCTGTGGACTGTGGGTGGAAAAGGTCTAGGCCCAGGACATTAATTTCCTGGCCAGACCCAAGCTGATGAGCTGTAACCACCCAGCGCCGGAAGATACGGGTCCCCCTCGTCCTAACGGGGACCGACAGCTACTTGGTTTGATGGAGGCAACGTGATCCTGGCATGCCTCTGCCAAAGCTGCAGATGGTGGTGGGTTCAGAGACAGCCTTTTGCCCTTGCTCTTACAAGAAGGAGGCATGAGCCCAGCTGATTCTGCCCTCCCCTACAGACCCCGGCCCTTCTGCACTAGGTCACAAGCATGGGGTGGTGACGACAGTGTGGGATGAGTAGCAATGGGCCCCAAACTTGCACAGGAGGGAAGCGGTGTTGCTGGAGCTGGGAGTCCAAGGGGTGATGTGGCAGACACAGGTGGTCAGCACTGACGGACCTGGGTTCAACTCTATTGTTGTTAACAGTGACCTCGGGGAGTTGTTGGGAAGGGTCCTCGTACCTGGGCCCAGATGATTTCAGCCAGCTCCTTGCGACTCTGGACAATAGCCCAAATGAGGAGGTCCCTGACCGGGTCCATGGTGAAGGTGACCCGGCCAGCTGAGCGCTTGTAGAGGGAGCGGAGACTCACGCCCTGCACCTGGGGAGGACGGCAGAGTTAGACCAAGACTTTGCAAAGAACTGACGCTCGCTCAGGAGCACCCCACTGGAACAGCAAACCAGAGCCCTGGTAAGGGGGCAGGAAGGCTGCAGGCCATGGAGAAAGGAGAGACCTGGTGACAGGGACCAGTGATCTGGTGTCACTGCAGGGGCAGCTAGCTAACTTGCTCTCTCAGCTTGTGGCAGCTGCTCTGTGCAACTCCCAGCTCACACTGTGAGGCCCTGCACTAATACATGCAGAAGCAGGGGAGCCAGGCATCTGGGGAAACGACGTGAGGAAATCTGCTGGCAAGTTTCCTCCGTAGCTACCAGGGTCTCCCCTCCCCAGCCCGTACTTGTCCTGTAAACACCTGGGGTTTCCCAAGTGCGTGGAGCCAGGAACACCTGACTTAGAGGGTCTCCCCTGCCGTGCCCCTTAGGCTGTTGGGACGGGGACAGCAGTGCCATGTGGGTGGGACATGCTACTGCTACAGAAGGGTGTGTCATGATTAACCCGCTGTGCAAGGAGGAAGGCCATGGGAATCAGGCCCCAGGAAAGGGCCTGTCAATGATCTGCCTACAACGGCCATGTTTGGCTTTCAGGTGATTCCGGTGGGGACTCAGAGGAACCCACTTGAGCTGAGGAGGGGTTGGACTTTTACAGGAATTTAAACCTGTGTTTACCAGGAGAGGAACAACCAAACAAATACAAGGGCTTGTCTAGAGCAGGGCAGTTTACACCAGTGGAGCTACACCAATGTACCTATCCCAGGGCCAGCTCCTGTGGGCCATACATGGCCCCGGGCCAGGTAGGCATAGTTATACCATGCCAACCTGATAATGGATCGGAGAGCTGTGCCATCACGAGCCCTCCTTTGCACCAGTGTGGCATTAGGGGTCAGCCCTGGTTGGAGGCACATTGATACACTCCCACCAGTGCAGATCTCCCTGAGCCTTCAGTTGGATGTCCCACGGCTGGGGTTTCTCAGATGCTGGCCAGTGCAGGGATTGCTCAGGTGCCTGGTTTGAAACCTGGCCGCAGTTCTGGCCTCGCCAGCTGGTGTCCTCTCCCAGCAGGTATACCCCCCTCAGCTCCCCCTCCCCTCGCTCCCTGCCCCAGCGCAGGGAGACTCGTACGTTGAGCTTGATATGTGGGACGGCGATGGAGAGCCGGTGCCGCTCAGCATGCTTGGGCTTCGGGTACAGCGGCTGCGTGGAGTTGCCCAGCAGCTCCCTCAGCACCTGGGACACGTGGTGCAGTTGGATCTTTGGCACCTTGGAGAAGGCCGAGCGCTCCTTTTCCTCCACCAGCACCTTCTGCAGCTTGCTGTGGAAGAGGCTGGAGGGCGCCATGTTCTCGTAGAGGTAGATCAGGGTGTCCCAGGTGACGAACTCCTTCAGGTGCACGCCCTGCTCCAGGAACAGCTTCACGAAGTCCGGCTTGTTGGCGATCAGGGCGGCGGCCATCACGGGGTGCAGATCTGCAGGCTGGCAGGCCAGAGACAGCGCTGTCATTGAGTGACGCCGCTCTGCCGATTAGTCCCAGGGGAAGGGCAGGGCGCCAAAGCAGGCAGCGGGCATGGGGCACGGCAGCAAGCCTGGGCAGGGGTCGCTGGAGCAGAGGAAGCAGCCAGCAGGGGAGGCAGCAAGACAGGGGAGGGCATGGACAGGCCGACACAAGCCATGCACAGCTCACGTCTCCACTGCCCGCAGTAAAGCAAAGTAGTTTTGCCCCCTTGGGCAGAACTCCGCTCCTCCTCTGCCCTGGGTCACTGGCCACCTGCTCCTCTCCCCTCCTCTCAGAGGAGCCGTGGCTCTGGGGCTGCTCTGCCCCACTCGGACAGCAGCTAGGCAGCGCTCTCATCCCCTTTCCTGCCCAGAATCCAGTGGTGTGGGGCTGACCAGCTCCCTCCGGTCTTCCTCCCCTCCCCCTAGGAGAGGAGTACTTTCTTTCTGCCCGTCTTTCCCGACCTGGGGCCCTGGCAGGATCAGCTGCCTGTGTGACCCAGCCCTGATCCCATCTGTACTGGGTATTACAGCTGGCCAGGTATTTCCCCTCCTCGGGGCCAGATCCTTTCAGCCTTACTCACGCCAAGTAATACCCCTCCCATGTGCAAACCCGCCAAATTCAATGGGACTCCTCAGGTCAGTACGTGCTGTGAGGTAGCGTGCACAGGGGTTGCAGGCTGTGGTGCTTTTGGTAGAGCATGGCATCCTCTAGCTATAGGGGCTCTGTAGTGGCCATCCACCCTGGCAGGACATTAGACCTACGAGTGGCCATGCTTCTGTGGTCAGAAGGTTTGGCACTCTGGAACTCTGCTTTCCTGGCTTTTGGTTCTTCAGTGGCTGAGATGGGAGTCCCTGTAATTCTCTGACGCGTCTTGTCATGCAACTTTGGATGTTTCCATGGAGAAACTCATGCCACCCTCACGTTTTGTTTTCAGGTATGTGTGTGTGTGTCCTCTGTTTAACCACTGCTTGTCTCCAGACCACGTGGAGTGGTACGTACACCTACAGCTGGTCAGGAATTTCTGTTTGATGGGTTTCTCATCAGGAAATGCCAAAGCATCAAAATCAAATTTTTTTGCAGGAACGTATGGGTTTCGACGGAACTTGCGTAAGGGAGGTTCCTCACAGCTAGGATGGAATTTCTGGTTCAACCCAGAATACCTGGTGAGTAGGGCACTCATCTGGGATGTAGGAGATCCAAATTTAAGTCCCTCCTCTGCCTTATTCAGAGCAGGGACTTGAATCTGGATCTCCAATATCCCATGTCTTAACTATTCTGGGCACTTGGTCGCTCTCTCTCTCATGTTTTTTCATGAAAAATGTCAAAAGGTCTTGGGTTTGTTCCAATGCGGAATGAAAACAGATTTCAAAACCTCAACATTTTTACAGAACGGAATTCTGAATTCCTGGCCAGCCCTGCTCCCATCTCTTGGGTCCCACCGGGCAGCTGAAGCCTTCTGACAAAATATTTGCCAACACGTCAACTTCTGTAAACTACTTCAAAGTTCCAGTGGAGTCAGATAAATTAAAGGGAAGACACAATTTTTCCCACCCTTAGCTTCTGTGCAATCAGAATGAAAAACAGGTGCGTGAGAGTGGAGCTGGCTTTGCTCTTCCGGCCCCACTTCTCTCCACATGAATGTTGTGACACTGCTGAGTACGTCAGCGGGAAAATGCACAGCTCAGGGAGCGGAGCCATGCATCCAGCAGGCTCGTGATGCACATAATAGCTGAGTGCGCAAAAGGACGGCAGCATCTGCAACAGATTTCTTGGCAGTGGAGTGGTAACTTATTTCTAAAAGACAGCTATTCAGACTCTAGAATACATTCCCTGCCCAGTCAGCATTTAAAGGCCGGTCAAATTTTTGGCCTGAGCAGGTTGCTATTAGATCTATGGATAGGGCCCTTCGTTTTCTTTTTCCTGGGAATTTATCAGTGTTTATTACTACAACAACAAAAACAGGTGAAAATCGGTGGAAAAAACTATTGATACTTTTTCTGGGTAAATACTGGGGTTTATTTTGGTGGGCGGAAGGACGGGGAGAAAAATAATCCATAGATTAATGCTTTGACGAATGGAATTCAATGTGGTTTGCTGCAGAACTAAAACAGAACTCAAAACACAATGCCACCTCTGAGTTTAAGAAAACAATATATCTCTAATTAAGGCTACGGTTTTGTCCCGGAGGTCGTGGAATTCATGGAATCCATGACTTCCACAGACCTCCGTGACTTCAGCCCTGGCGGCTGGGAGCTGCAGGGTACTACCGCTTCCCACAGCGGCAGGAAGCTGTGAGGTACCCCCACTGCCTCAGGCGGCAGGGCCCCCAAGCTCTCAGCCATGGACAGAGGGGGTACCCTGCAGCTCCCAACTGCCACTGCAGGCAGGGGGGTACCCTGCAGCTCCCAGCCATCGCCATGAGGCAGAGGGACCCCCGCAGCACCCCGTCACCGCCACAGGGCAGGAGGACCCCGGCTGCTCCCTGGCCGCCATGGCAGAGCAGGGGGATTCCCACAGCTCCCTGGGGTGTGGGCAGGAGGACGCTGCAGCTTCCCTCCACCGCTGGTGGCAGGGGGACCCTGGAGCTCTGAGCCCCCACCAGTGGTGGGGGGGTGAGGGGGAGAGCTCCCAGCCACCCCACAGCTGCCCAGACCCTTTCCATTTTATCATGGAAATTTTTAGTAAAAGTCAGAGACAGGTCACGGGCTTCTGTGAATTTTTCTTAGCCTTACCTATAATCCCCAAATAAAACTTTTCATTTGAATAAACAGTTTACTGTTGTAGACTTAGAACTATTAGCCTATAAAGACTTACATTTAATAATTGGGCCAAACCATTTGCAGCGCATACGCTCAACTTCATCCTTTTCTCCTGTTTTTGTTTTTTTAAAACGTTCGAATCCTTCCTTGTGTTCCGAAACGTAGTCTGATACAGATTTTCATTTTCTTCCCGTTGTTGTGTATCAGATCTTTAAACCGTTGTCTACTAACAGCTTGACATGTGTTTGTGGTGGGCGTGTGTTTCATCCGTACATTCAGATGCGCGCACGCATACTTCAGAGCTTGTGTGCGTGACTGTTTATTGTGTGTATCTTGTAGACCAACACATAGACTTACTTCAACGGGCAGCTTTGCATATACACACAGAATAATGTATTCTTGTAATACATATATCTCATGCAATGTACTGGTATTTTCCTAATAAAACAAGTTATTTTTTATATATTTGAATGATACAAAAGTGGGGTGCAAATTGGAAAAAACAAATAATACTTTTTGTAAAACCCAGGATTTTTTTCTGTAAAAATCGGTTTAAACTGAAAACGAAGGGGCTTATCTATGGAAAAACAGGGCATTACCAAGTACTGAATCCTGGGTTCCCCACCTGTAGTTCAGACTCACATCTACAAGGTTTAAACAGAGTAGCTGCTTCTGACAACATAAGAAGGCCTTAAAGCAGGTAGAAATTGACCCCCTGAGAATGCTCCCTATGCAGGGGGCTCCTTGGCCAGTATACAAGGCCCTGTAGTAGCCCTGCTCTGGAGGTGTGGCTGGCACGTATTGCAGTAGGGCTAGTCTCTGCGCTTCAGAGCAGTCAGGAGATAGGAAAAGCAGAGCGTACATTAGAGCAGGCAGCCCTGCACCAGCATCCTGACCAGCCTTGGCTCCAGAACAGGAGGGAGGCAAAGGTGACATAAAGCCCCCCTTAGATCCCACCCCTCCATCCCTGCACCAGGGCAGAGACCTTGGGGGCTTTTTGCCTTCTGCAGCCTGGGGTATAGGTCACTTGCTGGTTTGAACTAGTGTAAATGTGGGAGTCTCTGTAACTTGAAGCCTTTAAATCAAGATTTGAGGAGGTCAGTAACTCAGCCAGAGGTTTCGGGCCTACTATAGGAGTGGGAGGGAGAGATCTTGTGGCCTGCGATGTGCAGGAGGTCACACTAGATGGTCATGATGATCCCTTCTGGCCTTAAAGTCTAGGAGAGTACCTGAAAATCAGACCCTCTGCTCCCCACTTGCTGCTGAAGGACAGGCACAGCCAAGTGCGTCTCACCTTCCATTCATGGTCATCTGTGAAGATTTCACTGCGAGCAATGTCCACCCTGTTCCAGGCCACTGCCAGCTTCAGCTGGTGGTCCCAGTTCTCGTGGCCAAAGTGATCGCGGTTTCGGGAGGCTGCAGCCAAAGGCACATACAACAGAGTGAACTCCAAGGCTGGGCCGGGATGGCCACATCATTCTTACCACCCTCAGAAAAGCAATATCCAGAGCCAGGCCCCTTGATGGAGAACCAGCCAACTGAGCAGAGCAGCCTGCCCATAGCACACCCCAGTGAGCACAATGGGCCAGGGGCAAGGGAGGCCAATGAACCCTGGGAGAAAGACACCAGAAGACATCCCATATTGGCCCTTCCATTACCACGGCTCCTGGGCTCCTGCCCTCTTGGTCTGTTGTGAGCCATTTGCCAAGCCGCTACGTCTCTTTGCCTGCCCCACACATCCTATGGGTGTGGGATTTCTGGATGGGAATCCAGCGCACGTGCAGAGCAGAAACAGCACAGTTGCTTTGTTCTGAGCGGCGGGGACTGGTAGAGCACTATGGCCTGTGACAATGTGCCAGGAGCTCTCTCCTTATCCCTGCCCTGAAGAGCTACCAGCTTAAGAAACAGTAGAGACCAACTGGAAGAGCATTATGGGAACTGGCCTGAGAAGGAGCTGCTTGGATCCCCACAGACACTGGAGCAGGATGTCCCCCTGCCAGTGAAGTAACCAACGACGATGAGCCAAAAGGGAAAGGGCAGGGACATTGGTTGACTCTGCCCTCATGTGGGATACACAGGGGGGACTCTTCTGACCAGCAGAAGAGCATGAAAGAGTGTCGATTGTCTCGTGATAGATCAGTGGTTGTTTTAACAGTGATCCCTCCAAAAGCAGGGTCACACGTTCCCCTGGGTCTGAGTGAGCAAAAGGCAGAGAGCGAGGGCTGGATGATCTGTGCATGGCACTAGATAACTACCGGGCAAATGTCTTCCATTCAGACAGTGCCAAAGCATCTCAAAGCACCTCACAGCCTTCCTCTGATGAAATGGTGAAACAGCGCCTCATATGGGGCAAGACGCAGCAGCACCCCACAGGGACAGATGCTCTTTGGTCATGCTCAGTGAAAACACTTGGGAAATTAATTGACAACATCCCTGCTCCATCCTGTAGTAGGAAGAGAGCCTGAGACACAATCTCTTGTATTAGAGGCCTGGTATGAGGCCTGGGCTATAGTAGCAGTCAAAACTTTGCTGATATAAAGCAAAAATTAGACTGCGAGCTAGAAGCCGGCCCTGCTCACAGAATTTGGCAAGAACAAGGCTGATATTACAAAAACACACGTTCCTAAGAGGTGCTAGGCACAGAGCACTCACTCAGACACATTCCAGAAGGGTGGTACCAGAACATCCCAATATTAAGGATGGTACAAAAACGTTCCCCAAGGAAAACAGGAACACACTGTCCCCTTTTAAAAGATACGGTCAGGATGACAGCACGTAATAGAGATGTTTTTATTGAAGCAACATGTAAAAGGTGATGGGTAATAACTAGCCACATTAGGGGGCAGTAACTATGCTAGAGGGGCAGTACTAACTTGTTTGTATTAGGATATAAAGATGTATTTTAGAGGGAGTGTTTTTGTTTAGCCCAGGGAGGAATGGAAAGTCCCGCTGTTCACTGAGCTGGTCCATTGTTACAGGCATACATGTATTAGTGGTCCAGTAGAGTTTGCGGGATACTAGTACTGTGCTTGTTGATAATAAACTTGGCCTGGTGCCTTCGTACCTTAATGGATTTTGTGGTCATTGGGCGGTTGGCTCGAGTTCTGCTGTGCCAGCTTTCTGCGCAGAGCTGGGACTGCACGCAGGGAGAACACACACGCAGCCAACATCTGTCCACACATCCCTTTCCTCTGCATATACCTCACTCTCCCCCACACAGCCCAGAGACACTGCACCAGGGAGTGACAACCGGTGCACTCAGTACCGCAGCCACTAAGGAGCAGCTCAAGCACTGGTGAGCCCATGGCCAGCTCTGGTGTGAACTGGCAGCATCCTGACGCCTGGTGGCAGGCACATGCCCACCAGTCTCCAGAGCAGAGCCAGGTAACACCTTCCCCGCCCCTCACCTTTGAGCAGTGCCTGAAGAATGGCCACGTCCACATCTTGCTGGCCATCTTTGCCCTCCCGGAAGATGGTCAGGAGCTGCCTGCTCCGCACTATGTCTTGGATCTGCAAGGAATGGCAGAGGATCAGATGTCCTGCAGCAGCAGCATCCCTTGCCGTGCCACCCAGCTCACGTGAGGTTAATGCTCTTCCTGAAGATCCTGGCTGGATCACCCAGTTCAGTTAATACCCTGCTCCTGCCTTGCGATCTGTGGCCCCTTATGGCCCATTTGACGTTAAATCCCCATCTGCCCTGGACACCTGTTACCCCTCCCAGCCCATTGGAGGTTAATTCTATGACTTCTGTCCCAGCCACCAAACTGCAGACCGAGTCCCTGTCCTTGGAATGCACAGACAGCCCGCTGCTTGCTAGAAGACTGCAGGTTAAATCGTGGCCCCATTGGAGTTGATGGCAAAACTTCCCCTGGCTGCAGTGGGACCAGGATTTCACCCCGTGTGTTCTTGTCCCCAGAAACGCTCCTGCCCTCTCTAGGCACACTCACCTTTCATCCTCTGGACAATTTGCACAGTGCACGTAGTCACTTTGCTCACACAGATGTCTGCTTGCACACACAAATGATGGGGTTTGTAGGTGCATCCAGGGTGAGTGGTGAGTACAGGACACAGGCTCCCTCCCTCCCAACAGTGGGGTGCATAGCTAAGGTCTGGAACACTTCCCCAGCATCACACATGGGGTCCCATTCCTCAGTGGCTTGTGTGGTAACTGCAGATCCCAGGAGGGGTGATGCATTGCCCTCCCCTGTTATCCGAGTGCTCGGGGGGATGTCAGCCAGAGTAGCAGATGGGGTGTGAGCATCTCACCTTTTTGGTCCACTCCATGATCTTGCCCTCGGTGAAGAGCTCATAGGTGTCCCGGAAGAGGATGCTCAGTTCCTTCTGAATCAGGGAGATGGTTATCTCTGGGAGAGGCCGATTGGCCACCTGTGCAATGACATCAGCTACACGCCCGGACCCCTCCACTATCACGCATGGGGTGCCATTGGTGATCGCATTGTAGATTGTCTGCAACACAGAGATGCAGAGCTAGAAGGGCTGACCCAAATCCACTTGAATCAAGGGGAGCCTTCTCGTTAACTCCAGTGAGCTTTGCATCAGGCCCGAGGCACCCACAGCTTACACACAGTCCCCCATTGGTGGCGTCTCTGCATCTGTCACCACTGATGGGCTTCGAGCCCACCCCCACCCCCCCCTGCAGTCCTCCTCCACTCAGGCTAAGTGAAGGCTCTCTAACACATGGCTCTCTCAGCTTGTCTCTGCACTGGGGATTTCCGGGGGAGCCATCCCCACAGTGTTTGCTCCTTTGTTATTTGGAAGTCATTGGGTGCAGTCATGGTTTTAGCTTTTCCAGGCCCAGCAGTTCTGACTTCCTGTCTGACCTGTCTGGGAGGAGGAAGCTGCGCTCGTCCCCTTCTCTCCCGTGTACTTACATTGAGCGTCCCAGGTCCCCCTTCCAGCACTACGCAGACGATTGGGATCTTGATGGCGACTCCTGTAAGGAAGCAGGGACTCAAGTCAGCTCCATTTGGACGCAGACCTCTCACAGATCAGCTGCCCTGCTAAGACAGGCCAGCATGGATCTCCCTCAAATAGCTACAAGTAAAAGACAAGCCACAGGTATTTCCAACCCATGCCAGCTTGCAGAGCTGCTCCCAGAGATCAGCTAGCAGGAGGCACTGGCCAGAAGGGCAGGGATGGTTTGTAGTCACTTCACCAGCAGAAATACTGCCTCGACTTGCGCCACTGACCATGGGTGGAGTGTGATCTGCCGGCTGCAGGAGGCTAGAACCCAGCACCGCCCCTTCCTTCCAGCCCAGAGCCCCCCACCGCAACCACCAGCCCCCACCCCAGGCTAGCGCCCCCAGCCCTGGGAGGGTGGATGGCACGGCTCCAGCCTCCCCAGCCCCAGAGAATTGCATAGGGGGATCCGCAGAGCAGGAAGCTGGAGGTGGGGTGAGCCTGGGGGCAGAGCATGGGAGGGGCCATGCCTGGCTGTTTGAGGAGGCACATCCTCCCCCAGCCTATGATATTCACCTCCCATGCCACTGACAAAGCCTGGCAGGAAAGACGTTATCCACTAACAGAGCTCCTTCTCCAAAGGCTCTGCTCCCTGGACTCTCTGACACCACCCGCCAACAGTGAATGCACTGATGCTAACACGCGACCTCCTCCTTGCCAGACGCCAGAGAGATCTAGGAGCTTGCCCATGCCCTGGTGCCAATGTCTGTCGGATCTCACGTCTTTCACTCCCTCCGCTCCGGAGCAGGGCTGACCTGTGCTGCCATTACCTTCTTTCACCTTAGTCTGCTCGGAAATGAACTTCTCCAGTCTGGTCCTCAGGGAGATCTCCACACCGTATCTGCCATGGGTCCCGTCATCCACCAGGATGAAGTGGGAGTGGTTGCTGTCCAGGCAGGAGAGGTTCCCCTGGCTCTCCTCATCCAGCACGTATTCAGCCGGGAAGCCGCCCTGCAAACGGCCAGAGGAAAGAGAGACAGACCAAAAGGGGTATTTCGCTGGGCCCTTCTCGCTTGGAGAGCTCTATTAGCAGAGCAGGCGGGGGTCCCCTGGCTGAACCCCGTAGGAACAGCCCCAGGGAAGCAGACAAGAGCACAGGGTGGTGGCCAGCAGGTGTGGTGAAAACAGCAGGTGTGCAAGAGGGAGTCCGCACAGGGGGGTGGGAGAGGAGAGACGGGGACAGTCCTGACTTGGATCAATGAATGATGGACAAGATGGCCCAGTGTAGTGACAGAGGCAAAGCCAGAAAGCAGAAGAGGGCGGGATCAGGACTGGGCAGCAATCTTTGACAAATAGCCATCCCGGCCCCTCCCAAGCGGTTTCTCACAGTGACTGTTACTTAATCCTCTCAGCTCAGCAGCTTGTGCAGTGCTCCCTGCACCACCTGCCTGGGGCCCCCTCTTTCCGGGCCCCTCCTGATGCTTTACGGAATCGAGAGGGGAGAATCTTCCGCTCAGAAATACACAAAGGAGGGATTTGAAATTGCTACCAGCTCAGTTAGCTCAGTGATTCAAAGGTGGACACTGCACAGCATAGAGGCCAAGAGTCTGAAACAGGGGTAGGGGTGCCTGGAGTTAGGCTCCCAAGTTCCAGAATAAATTATCTGATTGTCCAAAGCGTCAAGTTCTCAGCAGCTCTCAGTGAAATCAATGGGAGTTGTGGATGCTCAGCCCTTCTGAAAGGCAGACTACTTATTTAGGCACCTAATAACGTCACACTGTCTCATTAGACTCGAATCTGTCTGCCTTAAGTATTCCTGAGGGGCCTATCACTGTAACTACAGACTCAAGCTGGAGTTCTGCAGATATGGCAGGCATTCTCCAGTATATTTCCCTGAAACAAAAGCAAATGTGTCACAGATTTGGTTAACTTCTGAGAGGTTGGGAGTGGGGGTGGGGTGGGGGGAGGGAATCTACATTATTTTAGAACCAAAAGTGCCCTAAAATGTGTTTGCAAGGGGGAGGACATATTTTCCTCACCCTTGTCATAATATGGCCCCTTCTGTCTTTCTTGGCTGTCTATTTTTCTCTTATCGCTGCTGAGATTGTGTGAAAATTTCTAACATGAAACGGGCAAGGTCAGGAGTTCCATTTGCATGCTTGGTATTTTAAATACATGGTATTAACAAGCAATCATGAATTCCTTCTCCTTTTTCCTTTCTGATGCAAGGTTTTCAAAGAGGTTGGGGGATAAGTGTTGGCCTTTATGTCTCTAATCCGCTGAGGGTGTGTGAGATTCAGGACATGTCTACAAACACAAAGCCCCCCACCCCCACCCCGCAGCAATCAAACACACAGCCCCCATACCCCACAGAGGCTGGACACTCACCATGGGGCAGATGAGGCTGCCTCGGTTGTACACGGTCCCCCAGGTGGCTATGCCGATGGTAACAATTTTGCCCTCTTTGCAGCTGCTGCTCATGCTGAAGTCTCTCACAGCTTCTCCCACCTGCTTCATCACACCGGCGTGGGACCCACCCGTTATGATCCAGGCACCTGGCAGACAGAGCAGGGGTTGGCAAGGTGAATGCGCCATGTACAGTGGCTGATATCCTAGCCTATCAGAGACCTACAGAAGTCCCCCTTCCACCCAGGTTTTGGAGACTCTGAGGCCTGTGGAGTACCCATCCTGCATTCTGCCCCATCAGTACCTTGGGGTGTCAAAGCCCTCCGTGCACTGAGCCCACCCTCTTTGACACACAGGTCTGGGACCTCTCTGGGCTTCATGCCTCCTTGCCCTGAACTTTGTGCAGGCCCTAGGTGAGGAGAATGCCACTATTGCAAGTGGACCGTGCTTTGTGCAGGGGCAGACAGATTGTCTTGTGGGTCAGGACTGGGATGTAGAAGATCTGGATTTGGTTCCCTGCTCTCCCACAGACTTCCTCTCTGACCTTGTGGACCTGTGTGTTTCTATAAGGTGGGGATAATCATAGAATCATAGAATATCAGGGTTGGAAGGGACCTCAGGAGGTCACCTAGTCCAACCCCCTGCTCAAAGCAGGACCAATCCCCAACTAATAACCCTTCTTATTCCTCTGTTGGGCTGTTCAGACTGAACTCTTCAGGGCAGGGGACTGTCTCTCACCATGGCCTTAATGGCCATGTCTTCACTGCCAAAAAGGTGTGTTTTACAGTGGGATAACTATCAGGCATTAACCACCTCTTTGTAAAACCCTAGTGAAGACAAGGCTCTGTAGCTTTTGCTGGAGGTAGGTGAAGTTAACCACAGGTGTGGGGTATAGGGCAGACCTGTCTTAGCTAAAAACTACCTGCGCCTTGTCTCCACTAGGATTTTGCAGCGAGAGCGCTAATTTGCACTCATTCTTTTGCTGTAAACACACACCTATTTTGGCAGTGAAGACACAGTCGAAGATTTAAAAGCATGAGGCTAACGTGATAACAAACACCTTTTAAAAGTCTAGTCTAGGCAAGGCATTCTGCCTTTAGCACATGGTAAAGGTCCCGGTTAAAGCTTAAAAGGCACACACTTGTCTGGAGACCTTTTAAAAAAAAACATCAACATTATTAATGCATATGAAATCTCATCCTTCCAATTTTACAAATAGCCACATATATCACCTCCTGATGCCACCCTATTTAATCTGCAAAGAATCAAAAGGGTTTCAGGATAGTAACAAACCAATACTTGTTTAGAAAGTCTACTCTATAGCCGCAGCACATGTTCACCAAAAGTTTTTCCAACCTCCAGCCATTTTCCCTCTTCTTCTATTGCTTTTCCTTGGAGAGAAAGTGGCAATTTTCTGCAGTATTTTTATGAAACCTATTTGTGCCTCAGTTTCCCCTATAATTTGCATGGCTACCCAGATGAGGTGAGAGGAGGACTGTTTGCTCTTAGGGCAGGCTGGGAGACATAGGTATGAATGTTGCCCAGCTGTCTGAGCCTGGATGGGTCACAAAAAAGGACTGACCAAGGCCAACCCCATATCAATGGAGGAGCCAAGAAGACAAAGGCAAAGTCAATTGCTAGGACATTGACAGCAACCCAGAGGGAGATGGATTTCCACCCACTCTCAGCAGGGAAGCTGAGCACAATCCCCCAGCTTGAGAACAAAGGACTGGGGAGGTGTGTGGTGCAGGATAAGTGATGGCTGCTGGAAGGAGTCAGGGCTCTGACCTGGGAAGCGACCAAGGAGGTCAGACTAAGACCCCAGACAGAGCCTAAACATGGGGGTTCACTACAGCTTGGCTGGGCTCTGGGCTAACCAGCAGGGTCTCTGGGCTAATTTTCATTTCTCTGTGCTAATCTAAGGACTTCCTATACTGTGTCCAGTTAACACAGGAGAGGCTGACGGACCTGAGGTTATTTAGTCTGCAGAAGAGAAGAGTGAGAGGGGATTTGACAGCAGCCTTCAACTACCTGAAGTGGGGTTCCAAAGAGGATGGAGCTCGGTTGTTCTCAGTGGTGGCAAATGACAGAACAAGAAGCAATGGTCTCAAGTTGCAGTGGGGGAGGTCTAGGTTGGATATTAGGAAAAACTATTTCAGAAGGAGGGTGGTGAAGCACTGGAATGGGTTACCTAGGGAGGTGGTGGAACCTCCATCCTTAGAGGTTTTTAAGGCCTGGCTTGAAAAAGCCCTGGCTGGGATGATTTAGTTGGTGTTAGTCCTGCTTTGAGCAGGGGATTGGACTAGATGACCTCCTGAGGTCTCTTCCAACCCTAATCTTCTATGATTCTATGACTAATAACCCCAACTGTTTTGACAGTGCTGTGGGAGTGTCACTGTGTATGCTGGGGTGCATTAATCTCTGAAGAGGGGACAAGTCTCTACCAAGAGTCTAGCTCAGTTGGACTCTCTGAGCAGATCTCATGGTGTGAAGTAGGAGTGCTGGAGCCCCAGAGGTTCAGTCAAGGAGGCAGTGAGGTAGCATGGCTTACCCTGGAGGAAGAGTGAGACCCTGTGGGGGTCTGGCACATTGAAGGGGCACCTCCTGGAGACTGTTCCAAAACTGGGGGTGTAACACCAATCCTGTGGATCCATGACAATCAAACCAGCTGATCAATAGGGAATCATTTGCCCTGCCCCACATCTGCTTATTCTCCTGTATTTGTCAGCTTTAGAAGGCTTGTTTGTGTTTGGTCAATCTCCTCCCATTGTCTGTCTAGTTATTCAAATGCCTAAGGTGGTGACCATACATTGCATAATCTGCTTGATCCTAACAGCTTTTTTAACTCTGCAATGATTTCCAGTTCTTAGCCCGGTTTTTATAATGTGTTAGTTACCACGTCAGCTAATTTGCTCTAACATTACATCTTAAATCCTAGTCTAGACAAGGCCTGTGTGTGTGTACAGCACCAAGTAGAACGGAGCCCTGAGGGTGGTTGAGGTCTCTAGAATCTTCCCTAATACAGACAATAATAACTGCACCAGGGGCAAGGCAGTGAGGAATCAGCCCCAGTGCCTAAGAGTCATGTGAGACCTGAAGAGTTCCCAAGGGCCAATGGGTTTGTCTGGATTGTCTTCTTTCTGCTTGTCCAAGATGGGCCCGAAACACCAAGTTTGGATCCTGATCTGAATTTTTTCAAAGTCTGAGGAATTCTGGCATGAGGTCTGGATTCATTCCCATCTAGAGGTGGGTGAAATTTTTTGGCCAAAACTCTTTGTCGCCAAAAAAAGCACATTTGGGTCGACAGAAACATTTTATGAATTCACCAAATTGTTTCCATTGGAAAAAACAAAACAAAAAAACAAAACTCTGGAAACATCTAATTGTTTTGTAACAACATTTTCCAACCAGAACGTTTCAATTTTTTGATTCAAGACAAAATGTCATTTAGAAATTTCCTGCAGCTTCATTAATTTTTTTTTTTTTTTAGTTCAAAATTGAAACATTTTGTTTTGGGTCAAACTCAACATTGCATCCAACTGAAAACAATTTTGTTTTTTTTTACTACTTTTTAATTCCCTGAAAATTTTGCTTTGGGTCAACCTGAAACTATTTTTAATTTTTTTTCCCTGGAACTGCAAACAACCTGAAAAAATATCACTCGTTCTCCCAGCTCTACTCCCACCTCATTCAAATGTTCAGAATGCAGATTCTTTGCTCCATATTTACTCTGGCTGTCCCTTTCCCAGCAGTAGCTCTTTGAAATAAGAACTGACGAATTGGCTACTTTCTCTGTAGTTCATTGAAATGGCTGTATGGATAGCCTCTGCTGAAGCTTTTATTTGTCACTTCTTGCAGCAGAATCCCAACACAGATCCCGTGGTCTCCTGCAGCAGTCGACATTTGGGCTGGCCTTTCCCCACCACGTGGGAGAACACCAGGCTCACAGAGTATGAGCTACCCCAAGCAAGGACCGTGCCCAGATCCCAGCACAGTGTTACTTCCCATGAGGACCCCTTGGTAATATCAGTAAGGGCAGAATTTGGCTCAGGATATTTCTGTTCATGATTCAGAGAAGGCTAAGAGGTGATTTGATCAGAGTCTATAAGTACCTAGCAAGAAGACTTCTGATGGCACAGGGGTCTATAAACTAGACTCTAATCTAAAACAAGATCCAATGGCTGAAGCTGAAGCTAGATAAATTCAGACTAGAAACAAAGTGCCCATTTTTAACAGTGAGAGCTTACTGAGCAAGACAGTAGATTCTTCACCCCTTGAAGTCAGTACATCAGGACTGGATGTCTTCGTAAATGATGCACTGATGCTCAAAGAGGCAGAACGGGCTCCATATAGGAGTCACGCTGGCCTGCATTAGAGGATCGTAATGGCCCCTTCTGGTCTTAGCTTTGGACTCTATCACTCACTAGGTGATTCCTGGGATTGCATTAATTTTCTGTCTGAGGCATCTCTGCTGGTGTGCAACTGACACTGTATTCTCAGAGATGCCGAGCCAGGCAGCATGCTAATGAGAGGCTTGCGGTGCCAGCATTACTGAAAGAGGACAGCGAGTGACTGGCGGCTGCTCAGCAATGGAAGCGTTTACTAGGAAAGGCTGGTGCAAGGGTCCTGGTGAGATACGGGGCAATGCTGGGGCTGGAACGCAGGAAGGGGTTAGTGCCCTGTGGCATGTATATGAGAGACCAGTGTGCGGATGGTGGGTAGGAGAGGCTGGTAGAAGTGAGAAATATTCACAGGGCTGCAGTGAGCTGAGATGACAGTGCAAGAGGTTTCTCGGTCTGAAAGCAACATTTCAGATCTGTGGGCCACACCCAGAGATAGGCACTCTGGGCCCCTGTACCCCACCCCAATCACTATGATCCTACAGGAAAGCTAAAGGCTTTTCATAGAATCATAGAATCATAGAATATCAGGGTTGGAAGGGACCCCAGAAGGTCATCTAGTCCAACCCCCTGCTCAAAGCAGGACCAATTCCCAGTTAAATCATCAGCTTTTCCCCTGGAGCACATGGTATAAGCAGAGGGCAGGCAGGTGTGAGTCAGGCGGAGGAAAACGCTGGCCCCAAGGGATCAGGAGTCCAAGGACTCATGGAAGGTCACTTACCAAAGCTGCTCACTGACTCGGCAGAGCTCTGGTAACTGTCTGAACTTGCCTGTCTCCAGAGCCCCTGCAGAGGCTGATCTATCGGACTGCTGTCTGGAGAGCTGTGGGCGAACGTCACTGCCCGTCATTCCAGCACTGATGAGCTCGTAGGCCAGGGATGCTGTTCCACAAGGATTTGACACCTTCTATTCTATTCTATTCCCATTCTGACACCACCCTCACCACCGTATTAGCTGAGCTCCTTCCCTAGCACATTATCCCCCATTGGGAACCCCCTAGCGCTTTCCCCCAGGGACGCAAACAGGGCTCTCCTCTAGCGCAGCCCCAGGAATGCTCTGCCCGCCCTCAGGGACTATGTACCACCAGCAGGTGTTACCTGTTGTCTGGGCCACCTTGACCAGCCCCCGTCGGAAGATGTTCTTCAGCCTCGGCATCATGTTGAAATTCTTAGCTCCCCCGGTCACAGAGATGAGCAGGTTGGGCAAGTCGAGGCCCCAGTGCTGAGTCATCAGCTGGTAGATGACGCATGGAGGGGTGTCCGCCGAGACGCGCACATACTGAGGGTGGGGTGCAAAACACAGGGAAGGGACGGAGTAAAACCCACTGCACCTACCCAGAGAGCAAAGCCAGCCAGGAACTCATCCTAGCCAACACAGCAAGAATCAAACTCCTTTCCTCTAGGCAATCAAGTCCAGGCAGCTCCCTTCTCTCCCCACCCCAGTTCCTCACCTTCCTGTAAAGGACCAGGGCTGCGTGGAGAGGAACATCTCCCTCCACTGCCCCATGCATCACCTCAGGGCCAGTCCAGGCTGGCAGCTGAATCTGTCACTGCACAGCACCCCCGAGGTGACAGATTCCCCCCTCTAAGGAGGGGCTGAGATGACAGAGTGACGGATGCTGCTGCTGTTCTAGTGCCAGGCCCTGGGGAGTGTGAGGTTGACTCAGAGCTGGATGCTGTACCTGTTCCCTCCCACCTCCATGGGATTCAGGCCCCAAGGAGTCTAAGGCAGGAGGAGTGGAGGAGGTCGCACACTGAATCTTGGCCCACCAAATGGCTTCAGAGGAGACCTTAGATTTACTTGTCCTGGCCCTGGGCCTCCTTCCCTCTCCCCAGACCTGCTCCGGCGGTTGGCAGGGTGAAGGAGGTGACCCCACCTGCCCCCTCCCTTTCTCTGCTGGGACCAGGGCTGCCTTTGGAGCCTCTCCTCATCTACCATCAAAAGCAGGCAAATACGCCCATTCTATCAGCTGCAAGTGCCAAGCAGCAGGGTTTCAGTATGGGATCCCTGTCCCCTAGACACTAGGGACTGACCCACCTTTCCCACCTTTGGTCCCAGACCTACAAAGCTGATATCACCAAATGCGTCCGTCGGCATTTCTTGGATGTGCCTCTTGGGGTCCCATTCTTTCCCCAGGAAAACAGATGGCTTTGTAGCCTCTTCCAGGTGCTGTTCCCTGGGGTAACCACACTCACACATGACCCTCCTGCAAGAAAACAGCATCAGCAACTCCCTGAACTCAAAAGGGGAGTCTCTGGCAGTTACAGGCAGATGAGTGGATATTAGGAAAAACTTTTTCACTAGGAGGGTGGTGAAACACTGGAATGCGTTACCTAGGGAGATGGTGGAATCTCCTTCCTTAGAAGTTTTTAAGGTCAGGCTTGACAAAGCCCTGGCTGGGATGATTTAGTTGGGCATTGGTCCTGCTTTGAGCAGGGGGTTGGACTAGATGACGTCCTGAGGGTCCCTTCCAAACCTGATATTCTATGATTCTATGAGTCTGTTGAGTCTATGAGTATGAGACTGGAAGCAGTGGCAATGGCTTACTTTGAAAATTCCCGACACCAGCCCCTAGGGAGCTTATATCTCCTGCCCAGCTTGCCCATCAGCTATTGGCTATGGAGGAGAAATCACTGTGAGGAAGAGATCATTGTGCATGGTAGAACGCAGCAAAAATCAGCATTTCCATTCTGCAGGACATTCCGATATCTGGACATTGTTTTCACCCCAAATTAAGCCAAAATATATTTTAAAAATTGTGGAACAAAAAGTTCTGGAAAATATTGATTCAGAAATGGAAAATCATTTTGTTCTGAGTCAGTTCAATGTTAAGTTACACATCCCAGTAGTGCCTTGCATTGTCTCTTGGGAGGTGTAGTTCTGGGTGCTTCATGTCCTAATGCCCCCAATGGCAGGTCTCCATGGCAAGACTACATCTCCTGTGATGCACTATAGTCAGCTCCCATGATGCACCACACAGGTCAGTCTGAAGGGACACCACATGCTGCACCATGGGACATGTAGTCCAGCCCTGGAGCTCAGCCCATGGGGGAGAATCACCTGGAACTACAACTCCCATGAGGCAATGCACCACCAAAGGGAAAAACAATCCAATGGTGAATGGACCCAAAATGAAATAGTTCATGAAATATTTTTCCATTGGAATATTCAAAAATTTAGGCAAAATAGAAATTTTCACATAGAAAATTTTAACTTTGCAGAAACTGCATTTTCCATCAACAAGTCGTTTTGATTGAAAATTCCCAACCAGCTGTTGGGCAGAGTGCTTTGCACCACTGACCTGTTAAGTGTGGTAGAAGCTCACTAATCTGCACCAGTGTCCAGGAGACCTGATGCACACTGCTCAGTGCTGTGAACTAGTCAGTAGGTGAACAAGCAATCAGGAGCCACATCAAGGCACCTGCATTGCAGAAGGAACCCAGTTCTCTTAGTCTGGCAAGCGTGTTTCCTATTATTATAGATGACAGTACTTCATAACAATGTAACAAGCCAAGACTTGTAGTTAAGCATTGGACCGATTCCCTGTGTGAGCTCAGGCCTCAACTCTGTGGATCTCAGCTCTCCAACTCCTAAAAGAGGATAACGGTTCTTCCGGCGTCTGTCTATTGGTTTGTCAGCTCTTTGGGGAAGGGGCTGTCTCCTACTGTGTGCACTGCCTAGCACAGTGGACCCTTGATCTCAGTGGGGACTCTAAATGCTGCAATAGTAATACATTACTGTAGTATATTTTCCTGAAGTAAATGCAACCTCACTACAGTCATCAGCAACGAGCAGTGACAACACTGGAGATTTTATGAGGATTACCCATGTTTGCAACTTTGCCTGGGAGAGTAGTTCCCCAGATTTTGATCCTGACATTACATTAGAGCTGATCAACAATTTTGTTGGATTTTTGACTAAAATAATGTTTTTGTGAAAGCATCTGCCTTCTGCAAAAAAATTCAGTTTTCTGTTCAAAAACAGAACACCCAAAAAACTGAAATGTTTTGGGCCAAAACCCCAAATATTTCCATCTGGAAATACTGCTGCAGAGCCTCATGGAAATTGTAGTTCAGTTTCTTTATATCTCCATTCACTTCTATGGGCGGGGCTCCCCAGCTGGACTACACCTCCCATGATGCACCGTCACCAGGGACTCTCATGCTGCACCACCTTCCCTCTCCAAGAGAGGAGACTGTGATGCATCAGGGGAAATATCCAAGCAGACAGCTCAGCCTATAAATAATAATTCCTATAATGCTTAGCTGTTTATACAGTGCTTGCCATCAGAAGATCTCAAAGCACTTTTCAAAGGGTAGTAACTGTCATAAGTATACATTATTATGTAAGTATACATTGTCAGTATAAAGAAAAGGAGCGAGGGTGGCCACTCACGCATTCCCAGAAAATGTGGTACTTCTGGGAATGGCATGGACCCACCCCCACTGGCATGACCCTGCACTCATAGTAAGTGTAAGGTCACACCACTTGGAGGACACCATTTGGAAGAGCATGCCACTCCACCCCCACCAGTGTGACCTTGCACCCAGCTGAATGGCCTGCCTGATGGGAGCATGTGGCATCAGAACTACAACTCCCATGAGGTATCATGGCTGCATTTGCAAATCAAAATATATCCATTTTCAAATTTCCACCAAAAAAATCCAAATTTTCTGTAGAAAATTTAAACAAAAACTACATTTTTTTGTTTTTGTTTCCATCAAAGTTTTCCACAGGAATAAGAACAACATTTTTCAACCAGCTGTGCTTAGCATTGTGGAATCAGCTGAAGAAACACAACATTTCTTCTCCAGGAAATCTTTTCCTGTATTCTCTTTGTGCGGCTCCCAGACCATCACTGCACTCCTCTCCTCGTAGCAGAAATGGGCTTAACACTGGATGTTGATTCTACTTTCCTGCAATGTGGGTGGAAAGTAAGAAGCAGACGGAAGGGGGAAAACATCCATGCATTTGGCTTACCCAGTATCTGACATTTGGGAACTTTCAACAAAGTACACACACTCCTTCTTCCTGATGTTTTCAGAAATCCATGAGCTGAGATTCTCCTATGGTGGGGGAGAGAATAAGGGGAACAGTAGGCCTACATGGTTTCAGACAAAGACCAGATTACATAGGTTCCTACAACTGATCCACAGAAAAAGGGGCACATCACAGATGCAGTGTGCAAGGGCTCTCAGCCAGTACATAGAGAAACAAAGGTCACAACTGCAAGAAACCCCAGGGGAATTTGACACTTTCAGTTAGACAGCTAGCAGAGTGAGGACTCTGCCAGCACACTGTGTACCAGAGAGATAGACGTGTGCCCAAAGCTGAGGATGACAAGACATGAAGGAGCAGCGAGGGCTGAGTCTAACAGCTTATTCACACTTTGAATTTGTTGCAGGTTAACTTGAGTTATTTCATGTTAAATTGGTGGGGGCTTTGTCTGGTCACACAGGAAGAAAGGAGTTGTGGCTCCTTTAAGGAATCCCCCCTCCTTAGGGTTGGAAAGTGGGCAGAGGGAAGGGGGCATCACCTGAGCAGGGGATTGGCCAGAGGGGCTCAGGTGCGCCACTGGCCCCTGCAGACAAGGATTAAGGTATGTGAATGCCCTGCCCTCTCTCACTCCAGAAGCATCAGAACAGCTCTGGGACTGAGGGTGATGCTGTTAGTGGGTTTGTTTTCACCTTGTGTGAATGGGATTGTCAGAACGGTTCTCTTCCATGTGTCCACTTCTCCCAGGGCACTTTGTCTGTCTCCCTGGCTATTGGAGAAAAGCATGTAATGACCCTAACTACTACCTCCTCCAAATGATACTCTGTCCCTGGACTGAGAGCCTCTTTCAGCCTACTCCCACCAACCCACCCCTGGGCTTGGAGCATCTCCTGGTTATGCCCCTGACTCTTACACATGGTCAGTGTATTTGCTGGCCTCCCCCTAACCTTGGCATTGTCTAAACTTGCCTTTTCATTATTGCCAGTGGCAAAGTGAGCCTTCCTCTTGCTCTTACAGAAGCCACTATTGCTGCGTCTGAGGTTGGGAACCATTTTGAGGTCGCAGATCTTGGGATGCACAACGTAGCTGTCTCCCTCATCAGGGCAGACTCCATTCAGCTCTAGGGGTAGCATTCTGGCTTGCCTGCCACTCCCAGCTACGGGGCAGGTCTCTCGTCACCCTCAACACAGCCTCTCGAATTTGTTACGCCGAGAAGTCCTGAAATGCAATGAAACAGAAAATAGTAAACATGCATCAGAAACACAAGGAAACTCTAGCTGGTGCTTTTGCTGCTAGGAGAACACCCCTCACCATGAATCCTCTCCCTCCAATCCCAACATGCTTTGGGGTTTGTTTCAGATGTGAGCTAGACCAGTTATGCTATGAGCTAGACAGCACAGACTTCTAAATTAATCTGCTGTTTTCCTACAACAGGCCCCGAATGAATGATCACAGAATCGTAGAAATGTAAGGCTGGACAGGACCTCGAGCCGTCATCTAGCCCATCCACCTGCATGGAGGCAGGACCAAGTAAACCTAGACCATCCTTGAGAGGTGTTTGTCCAACCTGTTCTTTAAAACCTCCAATGAGGGGGATTCCACAACCTCTTTCAGCAACTTGGTTCAGTGTTTCACTATTCTTATAATTAGAAAGTTCTTCCTAATATCTAACCTAAATCTCCCTTGCTGCAAATTAAACCAATTAAATGATGAAATAGGGAAGATTTTAACTACAAAAATAAAACTAAACAGTAACATACACTGCATCTATATTTATGTGTTCATATTAATATGTATGCCTAGTTGTAGGCTCATATCTATATCACCGACAGCTGAGTTGTTAATTTTTTGTCTATAACCCATGGCATATGACCCAGAGACACAACCACAGACCATTCTCCAAATCAGCCACTCATTAATAACCATAGACACCGCCATCTTCTGTTACCCTCCATACACAGAGCAGAGATTCAACTCCTCACTCAGCTCAACACATCACATCTCCCACACACAGCCCAGAAATGATACCTTGCCCACCCGAAGCCATTATTCCACCAAATGGGAAAATACCCAATCTATCCGATCCACCCTCTCTCTATAGATTAGAAATCCCATGTGTCTTCCCTATTCACCCTGCTAGGGTGAGTCAAGGACCTTCCGGCTACACACCAGCTATCCACCTTCATCCAGGTTGCTCTGTGCATACAGATCAAACCCTCAGCTACCCCCTGCACCACACCCGGCTAGTATGTTACTTGCCCTGTCTTTAGAATGTCAGGCAGCCAGAGTGCATGCTCCCTCCTTTCAAAGGGTGTAGCACCCTCCAAGCTCACCCTCACTCCCAGATCCCCAGGGTGAGGTCTAGGCACACTGCCTGTGGGAGCCCTACTGGACTGACAGACTCTACCTGTAGCTGTGGTCTAAAGCCACAACTGCGCCCTCAGTGTCATGAGGCTAAATTTCATTTATGTCTGCGGAGCACTTTAAGATCTTCAGCTGGAACGTGCTATAAAAAGGCAATGTGTTATGATTATTATTTATTCATACACCTGCAGAACGATTCAGCCTCCACCACATCACAGTCTGGCTGGGACATGAGCAAATAAGCCAGTTTTCCAGCAATGGGATAGGATGAAATGTTGTAGTCTTGATGTACAGTTGTTTTCTTGGAAGTGCTAATTTTTTTGTCTCCCCCATTAAGGTCCCTGAGATGCTACGGCTAATTCAGTAGGTTGCACAGTATGAGACCAATGCCCCAGTATGGCACTAGCTGGTGTAACCGTGCTGCAAATGCTACATTTCACATAAAAATATTTTTGTAAAAATAAGTTCCTGTCCTCTTTTGCTCATTGCCATCCTCTCTGGCACTTTCCATAGATTTCAGACCAGAAGGGACCACTGTGATCATCTAGTCTGCCCTCCTGTGTAACACAAGCCATAGGACAGCCCTGAATTAACTCCTGTTTGAACTAGAGCGGATCTTCTAGAAAAACAACCAACCATCCAATCTTGATTTTAAAATGGCCAGTGATGGAGAATCTACCACAGCTGTGGGGAAATTGTGCTAATGGTTACTTACTTTCACGGTTACAAATGCACACCTTATTTCTAGCCTGAATTTACCTAGCTTCCAGCCCTTGGAAGCTTGTTACACCTTTGTCTGCTAGACTCAAGAGCTTCCAATTTCTGTTCCTCATGGAGGCACTTGAAAAGTTGCCCCACAACCTTCTCTTGGTTAAGCTAAACATATTGAGTTCCTTAAGTCTATGTAAAGCCCAGTGGGTCTTAAACCTAGCCCTGCAGAGCTGCTAGGCAGCAAACAGCACCATGCTACCACCAAGCAGCAGCTGTAACCAGCTCCAGCTCCACTACCTACAACCAGCTGTGGACACAGCCCCTAGGAAGTCCCGCCTCAAGGGGACAGACAGGCAGCAACCTCATGGCTCCTGATTGGCTCCCTTCCATATATAAACCCCAGGGGTACTCCAGGAAGTCTCCAGGCAACAGTGTGGATCTCCAATAGCTACTATTACTGGGCTTGATTTGGACCTTGCCTCCTGACCTTTGGTATTGACCCTAGCCTGGAACCTGACTATAGACTCCTCTGCTGCTCTCAGCCTCAGGTTTGACCCAGCTCTGACCTTTGGTCCTGACTACCCTGGATAGGATCCTGACAGCCTATCACTATAAGGCAGGTTTTTTAATCCTTTAATCATTCTCGTGGTTCTTCATTGAACCCTCTCCAACTTAACAACATCCTTCTTGAATTGTGGGCACCAGAACTGGACATGTTCTGGTAACAGTTGCACCAGTGCCAAATACAGAAGTAAAATAACTTCTCTACTCCCACTCGGGATTCTCCTGTTCATGAAGGGTTGCTTTAGCCCTTTCGGTCAGAGAGTTGCACTGGGAGCTTGGATTCAGCTGACTATATACCATGACTGCCTAGTCTTTCTCAGACTCACTGCTTCCCAGGATAGTCCCTCATCCTGCATGTTCTCCATTCTTTGGACCTAAATGTATGGCTTTGTATTTGATCATATTAAAATGCATGTCCGCTTGTGCCTAGGTTGCTCTGTACCAGGGACCTGCCCTCTCTATTTACCACTCCCCCAGTCTTTGAGTAGGAGTAGCTACCTTATTAACCTCAGAGTCCTGATCACACTGCATTCTGCCTTTTGTACTTACACTCCCCATGCATTTTCAAACTGCACCTTGTATCCTAAAGTGGTGCATAGCTATGAACAGTTGTACAGGTGCAGTATTCCATCCCAGAGGTAGCTGCAATTCACCCCGGGAGAAGTGTGTCCTCTGTGGTTATGTGTCTGATGATCTCAAAGGAAACAGGCTGGACATCGAGAGGCAAAGACCGCTAATCCTTGATGGTATTATACCTTGATAGTAGCAACTCCTACGACTAAGCTTGCCCAGCATGGCTAATTATAACCCCAGGTTGAATTGCTTTGCCAGTTGTTCAGGCTGCAATTGTCTATGTTTGCTCTCTGCCTCAGGCTGAATGACCTTTGGGAAGAGTTCAGTCATTTCTGTCACAGCTGGGAATAGAATCCAAGTCTCCACTATCTTACCCCCAGTTCTCAGCTGCTTAGCCCCACACTTCTCAGGCGGAAGAAGGAAGGGAAAGGGAACTACTCTATGTACTTAGCTATGTGCCTGTGAAATGGGGCTACTCCTGCATAGGTTGCCCACAGTTTCTATAGCCCAGATTTTAAAAGGTATTTAGGATCTAGGCACATATGTCTTGCATCCCCCTTTAGTGGCTGGTCTACAGAAGAGCTCACACCCTTCTGCCACTGGTAGCTAATGGAGTTAGCCCTTTGCTCAAATGGTGGAGGGCTGTGCTATGGGGGCGAAGACCATGGACCGATGGCCCTGTTGATGCCTGGTTGGTTATCTCACTGTTGAAATGGATAGATTGTGTATCTTTCTTTTAAAATAACCTGGGAAATTACATACAATAAACTAGATTAACATTCTTTTAATCAGCTTGCAAAGTCAAGCACTGAAAAGTTAGGAAACACCAAAATGAAGACAAACCCATGCAACCTTACTTCAGCTCTCTCATGCATTATGATGCTGTCTTTAATTTAACGATCACACACTGTATCTCCCCCCCCCCCGCCCTCCAACAGAACCACTGCCTCATTCAGTGCACAGGCTGGATGGTGCTCCCTGAATGCATTGGAGTTAAACAGGAAATGAAGCTACTGTTGGTAGAATCCCTAGCTTTTTCACTGCAAAGGTTGGAAAGTGTGTCAGGAATGAGGCAGAAAACTACAGGAGGAACAAGAATGGGCATGTGGTTAAGGCAGCTGACTGCAACCAAGGAGACCTAGGTTCTGGCCTTTGCTCTCCTACATGCAGATGTTGGCTAGATCATCACACCAAATGTTTCCACAGGTGGCCTCCAGTTCTCTACTTCTCATTTTCTGTGAGTCTAACTTGAGATACCTCATTTAAGGGCTGAATATCCACACATGGGACTGAAGTCAATAGGTTGTGTGGGTGCTCGGCCCCTATGAAAAATTTCAAAACCATTGAAATAATTTAGCAACTTACATCCCACTTTCAAAAGTGACTCAGGGGCATGCAGGAGCTGAAATCCCATTGACTTGCAGGGAGACGTGGGCTTCTTCGGCCCAGAGCCTCAAAGGCTTTTAGGCTCTTAGGCTTTCATGCTCCCATGGATGTCAATGGGAGCTAGGTACCTAAGTGCCTTTGAGCATCTTAGCCCTGTGTGCCTAGCATTCATTGCCATCCTTTGGCATACGCAGACAACGCGGCTGCGTAGGGCCCCTGAAAATTTGGGGCACCAGTGGGTGTTAGTGTCCACCCTCCCGGCTCTTCCTATCCCTGTTCTGACACTTCCTGCAGACTCCCACAGCTGGCTGCTGCAGCCTGGTGAGTCTTCCTCGGGAGGGGATTGAATAGTTAAAAGTGAAAAAGCTTCTAGCCTGCTAGACCTATTAGCACAACATTGAAACTGTTAGAGCCATTCAAGTGGTAATGATTCCATTTAACAGTCATTTGCCAAGCCCCAGGTATTATACTGTCAGTTTCTGAATTTACTGACAAAAACATTGTGTATCACTGTAATATTTACTCAGAACATGTTAGTCTACAGGACCTTAGTTTAAAATTTGCTTTAAAAATATTTCATTAGTGAGTTGAAGATTATAAAATCACATCTCTAAAAAATCCTTGCATAGATTTTTAGATGTACAATGATCTTTAGCCTTAAATGCTTGGATCTTCAGACATAGTTTTTTAAATAAATCCTTCAAAAGACCACCCTTATCTAAAATACACATTTTAATTACTATAGTAAAAAAAAAAAACCTTGCTTCCAAAGTCTTCCTGTCCTTTCTGTCCATCCCTTTCTCCCTTCACACACACAACCCCCTCACCCCCACCCCAAAGAGAGCCCTTAAAGGGAAAACACCCCTTTCCTTCCAGATAGCTGGACAAAGAGTTTCCCTTTCTTTACTTCTGACTATCTGATGAACTAGTTTTAAGAGAACCCTCCAGCAAAATCAGTACCTTAGTAAAATATAAAATCCTTTGTTGTGCCTAAAATCTTTGGAAACATATATTATTTTTAAAGTTGGTGAAATGTCATTGTCTGTTATGGAGATAACAAATTTCATTGCCTATTGTTCAACATATTTATTGTTATGGAGATCACACAAAGTAAATTAGTGTTCCCTTTTTCTAAAAGCAATGAACATGTTATGAACACACTAAACCTCTGTGACTGATTAATTTAAAATAATGTCTTTGTTTCACTGAGTTAAATATGTAGTAATCTGGAATGATTGATCAGGAATTATGTCTCCCCCTACCCATCTCTTTTCCAAGATGAAAAGTCTCAGTCTTATTAATCTCTCTCTTCATAGAGGTATGGAATGGCTTCCGTATGAGGAGAGATTGATAAGACTGAGACTTTTCAGCTTGGAAAAGAGACGGCTAAGGGGAGATATTTGAAGTCTATAAAATCATGACTGCTGTAGAGAAAGTAGATGAAGTGTTGTTTACTACTTCTCATAACACAAGAACTAGGGGTCACCAAATGAAATTAATAGGCAGCAGGTTTAAAACAAATAAAAGGAAGTATTTCTTCACACTGCGCACAGTCAACCTGTGGAACTCCTTGCCAGAGAATGTTGTGAAGGCCAAGACCATAAGAGGGTTCAAAAAAGAACTAGATAAATTCATGGAGCGTAGGTCCATCAATGGCTATTAGCCAGGGTGGGCAGGGATGGTGTCCCTAGCCTCTGTTTGCCAGAAGCTGGGAATGAGCGACAAGGGATGGATCACTTGATGATTACCTGTTCTGTTTGTTCCCTCTGGGGCACCTGGCACTGGCCACTGTCAGAAGACAGGATACTGGGCTAGATGGACCTTTGGTCTGACCCAGTAGGGTCATTCTTATGTTCTTATTACTTTTATGAAGGCTTAAGAGTACATTTAAAATATAAAATCAGCTTAGAAATGCCAATTAAGAAAATGTAAAACAGAGAAGAGCTGCATCATGTATTCCATAATATTTAATGACAGGTTTCAGAGTAGCAGCCGTGTTAGTCTGTATTCGCAAAAAGAAAAGGAGTACTTGTGGCACCTTAGAGACTAACCAATTTATTTGAGCATAAGCTTTCGTGATGATGCATCCGATAATATTTAATGTTGTATTCAGCAAGACAGCTGACTTTCCCTTAACTACGAAGTTTTTGCAAATAAATGTCTGACAAACTTCAGGGCAGCTCAAAAAACCTGTGACTGACATTTTTTTTTATTCCCAAGCTTAGAGCTTTTAATTAGGTACCTTCTGCATGCCCATTCTGCGGTGAGGGAGCGCATACGGGGGTGTCTGTGGGGAACTGTGACTCTCCGCTGCCGTGAGGTGGGCCAGGCGTCTCGCTATCCTTTGCTGCCTCATCCCTTCCCCCTCGCCCCCCTGCTGGGCTGCCGTCGAGCATAGGGGCACCAGTTTAATAATACTGCGTAGGGCCCCATAAATCCTAAGGACGGCCCTGCTAGCGTTCTTTAGAAAATGGAACAAAGGCTCCTAAATCATTTAGCTGCATATTATTATCTCCATGTGTCCAAGGGGGCTGCCAAGATCAAAAGCTGGAAAAAATGTACACTACCTTTTGGGGACCTCACTGATTGGTGTCTCAAGCTGGGCCCCCATGGGTAAAATTTTCAAAAACTGCTATCTCACAAGGGAGTCATAAAGACAAAATCACTAATATTTGGGAATGAGGCACTCATGATGAGCAAGTGCCTCATAGTGATAAGCAAGCCCAGAGTCTGATAATTCTGTATTTAGTGGCTATTTGGGATGGTTTGCAGTAAATAAGGCCTCGGGGGGTTACACACTGAATGATGAGTGGAGAGAGAGAAATACTGAGAAGCTTCCACGTTCCCAGAGTACTAGCCACCCATAGGCAGCAAGTTATATGGGCCTGGGGTGCCCATGCTCCACCAATATTCAAGAATTGGGGCCCGGCTCCACCAATGTTTGGGCTTATATTTTCAGAGCTGTCCTGTCCATGGGATGGACCGGGGCAATTGCCCCAGGCCCCATGCTTTGGGAGGTCCTGCGCTTCAGGGGGGCATGGGGTCCACAGTGGCCTGGGGGGTTAGCAAGGGGCCTGACTTGGCAGCCGTGAGCGACCCGGCCCCAGCCCCCTCTGCTCCGCTCCACCCCACACCTCCTCTTCCCACTCTGCCCACACTCCACCCCTTCCTCCAAGCCCCCATCCTGCCTCTTCCCGCCCCTGCTCTGCCCCCTCCCTGCCCCCATTCCACCCCAAGCCCCGGTCCCCACCTGCCTCTTTCCAGCTTCCCCATGAGCGTCGCCAGGAGCCAGCAGGGCAGAGCAGAGAGGGCTGGGGCAGCGTCACTCGCTGCTGCTGGCACCAGGCCCACTGCTAACCCCTCCAGGCTGCCCTGGATCCTGTGTCCCCCTGAAGCACAGGGCCCTCCAAAGTGCAGGGCTGGGGGGCGGTTGCCCTGGTCTGTCCTATGGATGGGATGGCTCTGCTTGGACCCATTCTGGGCACCACCAAAAATTATACAAACCTGGCGCCCATGTAGCCACCCTCTGCATGGAATGAGGCAGGGACTTTTTTGGGGGGAAAAACAGTATCTTGGCTAAAGAGGGCCTTGGCCTACACCAAAGAAATCCTCAACATGCACTAGAGATGGCTGAACAAAATCACAGTTATTTAATATTGTATTTTGCTCAATACCTCCATCAAACTGCAGAAGGCAATCCCATCTCACCCTCTCTGGTATCTGCTTGTATAGAGACCAGGATAAAACTCAGGCCTGTGGTACACTCTAAACTAGCCAGCAGTGCCTAGCACGCACAGCGCTCGCTGACAGGCGTTCACACAGGGCCCTCCGATGGGCACTGCATACACAGGAGCCTACTAAGAGAAAGCACAGGCACAAAGGATTCCACAAGGGGGACACACGCACATCTTCCAAGGTGGACACGCACACAGCCTATCTTACAGGGAGCACATGCACACAGGAGCTCTCACGTGTCACATGCATACATGCGCATGGCGTGGTGAGGACCCCAAAGTGGTTTTAAATGGATTAAAGGGTTCTTGCAGCCCTGCCCTACAGAATAGTTGCAGGTAGCCTGATTCCTGAGCAATTTTGGACAGCCCTCAGGGGCATTTCTGTCAGATTCTGTCCTTCTGCAGGGCACTGGTTGCTACTGACATTGTCTGGGACAGCCATTCCCAGGCTTTGCAGCTTCCAGGCCCTGACTGAAGTTCCTGAAAATCTGCTAAGACCCGACACAGAAACTGTACATTCCAAACAATGTACCTGCCTGCACCTGCTGTGCAGCCTCCTCCTGCATCTCCTGCTCAGACGTTCGGTGCCAGACATGGGGAATGTCCCTTCGACTCCCCCTCCAGGCAGGTCAGTTGACTAGCTGAGACCCAGGTGATGAGAGAAGAATCAGCTGAGGCATCTCTGAACTGACTGACTGCAGTTAGGAGGAGGAGACGGGGCTGCTGCTGGCAGCCTTCCAGCAAATCAGACTGCAGAAGCAGTCCCTAGACCTGCTAGGGAGCTTTAGGCATAAGGACAATCCAGAGTTTGCTAGACCTTGGTGAGTCACATACCCTTTGTAAACTGCAGAGGAACCCTTTCCATTCCACAGCCTGACAAGGCACTTTCTTTCTCCTGAGTAGCTTCATCTTAACAATGCAAATGATAGTCCAAAATCTGAACCACTCTTCACAACTCTTAATCAGTGGCTGCTTTGTTATGTATGAGGGCCCCATTTGCAAGAATACTTGCTGAAAAGAATAGCATATCCACTGCTTAGATGGAGACTTGGGTCCATTTATTTCCAAGCCTGGCAAGTCCAGAGTAGATAACAAATCTCACTATACTTAGCATTATATCCAGTAAACACTTTAAACCTTAAATTACTGTTCATGGAAATAAAGTCACATTTCACATACATTCTCTCTCCTGTTATGCAGTTGAGGTGCAGGAGGAGACTCCAGTCTGGGGGGTGGGGCTGAGGGATTTAGAGTGCGGGAGGGGGCTGCAGGTTGAGGCAGGGGATTGGGGTGCAGGAGAGGGTACGGGCTCTGGGCTGGGGGTGAGGGCTCTGGGGTGCAGCCAGGGAAGAGGGGTTTGGAGTGCAGGAGGGGGCTCCAGGCTGGGGGGTGGGGATGAGGGGTTCAGGGTGTGGGAAGGGTCTCTGGGCTGGGATTTGGGATGAAGAGGGGTGAGGGCTCTGGGCTAGGGTTGTGGGCTCTGGGGTGAGGCTGAGGATGAGGGGTTTGGGGTGTAGGAGGGGGGTCCGGGTTTGGGGGGCCTTAGGGCTGGAGCTGAGGGTTGGGGCTCATGGTTGGGGTGCAGGCTTACCTTGGGCGGCTCCCGGGTGGCAGTGCTGCGGGTCTAAGGCAGGCTCCCTGGCTGACCTGGCACAGCACTGCGCCCCAGAAGCATCCGGCAGGTCCGGCTCCTAGTCGGGGGGGCAAGGAGGCTCCACACGCTGCTCTCGCCCACGGACACCGCCCCCCCCCAGCTCCCATGGGAGTGCAGAGCCAGTGTGTGGGGCAGGGGCAGCACGCGGAACCCCGTGACACCCCCCTTGGAGTCGGACCTGCTGGCGACTTCTGGGGTGCAGCACGGTGCCAGGCCAGGTAGGGACTAGCCTGCCTTAGACCTGCAGCACCGCCACCTGGACTTTTAGCGGCCCAGTCAGCAGTACTGACCGGAGCCGCCAGGGTCCCTTTTCGACCGGGCTTTTCAGTCGAAAACCGGACACCTGGCAACCCTAGCGAAGGTGGCTGGTGAAAGCTCATGTGTCCCTACAGAACAGAGCTGGGAAGAGAAACATCTCGTTACAGAGCGACCGTTTACCTTGCTGTTGGGGATAGGCCCTCAGTGGAGGATTAGGCCCTCTGCACCTCTGTACCATGGATGCAATAGCACTTCTCTCCCACGCCGGGGGGAGAGGGAGGGAGCACATTAACACATGGGCAGTGGGTAGATCCTGGGGCTGGGCCAGTGCATGTTCTACAGCAGGGAGCAGGGAGTGGAGCCCCCCAACGCAAAGAGACCCACAGCTTAGAGCCTGCTGTCCCTTCTTCCCCACCCTCCGGGCTTGTCTACACTGGCAAGTTTTGTCACCAAAAACAGCCTTTTGGCAACAAAACAGCAAGAGCGTACACACTACAATGTGACTTTTGTCGCGAAAAACGCCCACTTTTGGCAACAAAAAACTTCCAACCCTATGAGAGACTTTTGTCTTTTCCCCTCCCTTGATTGTGGGCAAAGAGCCAGTATAGACACTGCTGATTGTTTTGTCGACAGCACTGGCTTCTGCCAGTATCCCACAATGCCTGCCCTGATTGCTCTGCTCGGTGATCTCTGCTGCCCTGCAGGCATGCGCCCCTCCCCTTCCAAAGCTCCCCGGAAGTATCTGTGAACAACTCCGGGAAGTATTGGGGAACAAACAAAGAGCAAATCATTGGAATGCTCCTGTTCTGCCCTGCACTAGGAACACAGCAGTTCCCCAACAGGGAGAGCTCACAGAGCTACTCATGATGTTGCGCTCGGCAGCTGAGGGGGCTGTGGGAGAACTCGGAGAGAATCCCAAGATGTCGGGGGGGGGGAGGGCTAGCTCAGTGGTTTGAGCTTTGGCCTGATAAACCCAGTGTTGTGAGTTCAATCCTTAAGGGGGCCACTTAGGGGCAAAATTTGGGGATTGGTCCTGCTTTGAGCAGGGGGTTGGACTAGATGACCTCCTGAGGTCCCTTCCAACCCTATATTCTATGATTCTATGTGCAGCAATCAGCTCTTCCTTCCCACAACATTGCACTGTGGGATACATACCCACTGTGCATTGCTCAGCCTGTCGATGATGGTGTCCCCAATGTGGACGTCATCTGTCAACAGAGGGAGCAAGTGTGAACACCCTTTGGCGATTTTTGTTTTGTCGCCTTTTGGGTGTCGACATAAGTTTTGTCAACAAAACTTGGTAGTGTAGACAAGTCCTCTCATGCATAATGTAGCAGCCCAACCTGTTCTTTTCTCACCCCTCCCCTCCCTAAACCCCCCCAGTACTCCCATGCGTGATGCTGGCAAACAAGGGGCCAGCTCTTGCCAAGGCTTTAGGCCTCAGCTGAGCACTGAGAAATTCATTGCTGGAAACCGGACCAGCTCACCTCTGCAGTATGGCTAAGATGGGTATTGGACGTATAACAATGGGTTTCGCCTTTACAAAATGCTTCTAAATTGCTGCAAGCATTAATCTTACTTATAATATCTTTATAGTTAAGTTTTTGCTTTGCAACTGTAACAAATGTTTGGTCTGGAACCATGAACCTGTCAGGAGGGATTGTCTGCTCCTCATCAGGACAGTTATCAAAACTAAATGGGCCATTGTGGGACATCACAATACAAAGACTTTGTTAATTGCCCCTTCACACCCAGGAAGAGGCTGTGTGCAAACGGGCTCGACCCATCAGCTTGAATTCTGAAAGACAGATATAAAAATAGTTGACAAGAAAATTGTTCATCTCTTTTGCTGTTCAGACTCTCAGGGCTAGAGCTAGAAAACAGAAAGCAGAGATTTCCACGGTCAACCTAGGTTAGCCCTAAAAGACATTCGGTGCTGCTGACCGATAAGGCTTCATGTCCTGCGAGGGCTACTATGAACACAACTTTGTCCTCCGAACCATCATCGAAACGGCCAGAAGGGCATGGAGGCAGTGCACGGTAGCATGGCTTGACCTGGCTAACGCCTTTGGGTCCATGCCCCACCACCACATCTTTGCCATGCTCCAAGAGTTTGGGATGCCAGAGAACTTCCTCTGTGTGATCTGAGAGGTGTACGAGGGATGCAGCACCACCATTCGCTCGGTCGAAGGGGAGACCGCCGAGATCCCGATCCGGAACGGAGTTAAGCAGGGCTGTCCCCTCAACCCCATCATCTTTAACCTCGCCATGGAGCCGTTGCTGCGAGCGATCAGATGGCTTCAACCTCCACAGTAAGAGGGTGAGCGTCCTGGCTTACGCGGATGACCTGGTCCTGACTGCGGATGACCCAGAGAACCTCCAATGTATGCTAGATGCCACCAGTCGAGCTTCCGATTGGATGGGGCTCTGCTTCAATGCAAAGAAGTGCGCATCTCTCCACATCGACGGCAGCAAAAGGGACTCGGTGTAGACGACAGGGTTCCAGATCCAGGGCGAGCTCATCATCCCCCTGGCAGAGGGGCAGGCGTACCGGCACCTCGGCACACCGACGGGTTTCCATGTCCGGCAGACACCCAAGGACACCATCCAGGAGATCTTGCAGGATGCCGCCAAGATCGACGCCTCCCTGCTAGCACCGTGGCAGAAGATAAATGCCTTGAACACCTTCCTGATCCCCCGCATCTTGTTCGTTCTAAGGGGCTCCGCCGTGGCGAAGGTACCCCTCAACAAGGCAGACAAGATCATCTGGCAGCTCCTCTGTCACCTTTGTAACCTCAGACATGGATTTCCTTCAGCCTGTCAGCGAGGCTGTAAACATGGGCGCGGGGCAGACACTGTGCTGGTCTTGCTGGCCCGATTTTCTCCCACAAAGCATCCATGCTGGTTTTTTTTTAGATTCATCAGCTGCATCCAACACAGTTAGCACAGAGTTTTGTGGGCAGGAGTTCAGTCATCATTAGCAGGGGACACTGAACTACTCATAAGTGTGTCCAATCCTTCGTAGCAAAGGGGAGTTTGAAGCAGTTGCTCTCCTACCCTGGGGCCCTCTTGGGGAATCCTGCAGAGATCTCTGCCTTCACCCTTCCTATTTCATGGGAATCTATGGCTTTGAGAGCTAGTGCCGAGTCGCAGGCTGCAGGGTACTCAGCATCGTGACATCCTGCTCATGTCAGACCCAGCCGGTGCTGGGGCAGTAATTAGCCAGGGACGGTACAAAGCTGGGGCATTGGTGCAAGCGAGTGGTTTATGGCCCTCACTCTAGAGGAATGGGGGGATGTGTGGGTTGTGGGAAAGAGTTATTGAGGCAGAGTCATACCTGCATCTGTGACCCCAGAACTCGTTTCCCTTGGCCCATCATAGCCCCCTCGATAGCTACCCTTCCTGGCAGGTTTCAGAGTCTGCCTCCTTTCAGGGGCATTTGGGGCAGAGCAGGGTTAGGGCTTGGGGTGCCAGAGTGTGGTTCAGACGTATCAAATGTACTGCCTCCCTCCCTATCCCATGATACCGCAACCCATGGCAGTGTGCCAGGACAGGGAGCAGCAGGGCAAGGAGATCAGCTTCATCAGCACGGAGGTGGTTCTTAGGCAGTGGATCCCAGCAGTTCCTTAGGACAGCTGCTCCCCTCCTCTGGTGGGAGGTATTGACAGCCTCCACCAGCAATGGATTATTTTGTCCATGGGTGAGGTTTCTCACCCGTCGCCCTAGCATGGACTTGGCCACAAGGCCTTGGCCCAAACCTGGAGGTT